GGGGACCCTCAAAAACGAGACACCATCCAAAAAGGGTACCAGGAAAAATGACACCATCGAAAAAACTACGCAAGAAAGAAGACACACATCCCAAACGGGTACCCCAAAAATACTAGGGGGAACCCCCAAATGAGTGGTTTTTCGCTTTCAAAGAAACGACGAGGGGAACCCCAAAATGTGGGCATCCCGAAAAAAGAGGCACCATCCAACAAGGGTGCCACGGAAAAAGACGACACCCGCCACGTCTTTTGAACAAGCACATCTCGCATTGGTTTTGCAGCTGCCAGGATGTGCGCCAGCGCCTGTGGCGCGGTATTGGCGGAGACCAGTCAGCCGTCAAGGACCGAGAAGCGCCATCTGAGCCACAATCAAAACCATGCAGGTTTGAGCCATGACATCCAGGCAAAGTCCTGGTCGACAGACAGCATCGCTATTGCCAGCCACAATCAATACCCGGGTAGATGAAGGTTAGTAAGGGACGATCCCAACCATAAATAGCGGCCGCCTTCTTAATCCTGTGCATGGTTCTGGGTAGACCATTTTTAGTGCCAGGCTTTGATTGTGACTCAACTGAAGCGCAGGGAATTTCGATGCGGGGGGCTCGTCTTGCTTTTGAGTTGGTACCAAATGTTGTTCTGTGGTTTCAAAACTGAAAACGAAAAGGATGACCGATATCTTGTTCTTTTTTGTTGTTGGTGGGGGGTGTCCCCGAAAAAAGAGACACCCACACAGACACAGAAAGCGCAAAGCCGCGCACGTTGTGCCAAACGTACGAACGCTCCGCTTCCGCAAATGGGGGCGTAGGCCTAAAAGATCCCCAAACTAACCAACTCTAATCAAACGTCCCTACACCCCCAACAAGCCACAAAGTTCAAATGCAGCATCAAACTCACTGTACCTGGAAAAAGGAAGTTGAAACAACCTTGAGACACCGCGTTTTCATCATCCAGACATGAAGCCTAAGCCCATACCACCCTCACCCACCGTCAAACAAGCGGATGGCGCTATCAACACTCGCCCGCCAAGCCTGCCCCACTTCACAGCGGTGATTCACACGACTTTCTACAGACAGTCCCCTTTTGCTCGACACAACAGCAGCCAAAGCGCACTACTATGTTTGTCGCGACGCTTGGCATTCAATACTTGCAAGGCTTATTGGCGCGGTTCAATTTTGTGAATGTCCAGGTTTAAAGCCAAGAGGTGATTTAGGCGCTTGTCTTCATTTGGTTGATTTCCCTCCAATGTCCGCTCATGTCCCCGCCAATTGCGCTCTCTTTGTGCGACGCAATTGGCCACACCAGCTCAAGTCAATCATTCGGCTTGTTACCAAACATTTCCGCCCAACAAAGTTGAAGCAAAACCAAAGCTCAGAGCTGAGATAGAAGGAACTAAGTGGAGGGTCCAGGCTAGCCACCTCGCCAGGAGTTGGAGGCTATGGCCTCGGGCGAAGTGCCGTCAGCGTCGAGGACGTCGCTGAAGGCAGAGCTCTTCCAGAGCTTTGCCGCTCGGAGATGTGTGGCTGTGGTTGTCAAAACCGTTTTGGGATCCCATTTGGTTGGTAGGTGAATTCACCACCCATTTTCGAACCTATTTTAGTGGGGATTGAGATGTTCACTGGGGGTACGGGATTTTGACTTATGGCCATGTGGTGACTGGCGAAGGATTTTTCGGTTTTATAACTGATTGCAGTTTGCCAATGTGGCTCAAACAACAGTAGCCAGAATGGCAGCTTCAATGGAAACAAAGACTAGCACCTGCGTAACGCTAGCTCCTTCACTTTCAGCCATACGCTCAGAATCTCTCATCTTCTGCTCCAGGTTGGTGGCTTGGATCGGTGCTTTGGATTTGAACCCCTAGTTCTTGCAGGGGGTAACTGGGAAACCCCTCCTGAACCGAACCACCACCCCTCTGATGGAAACCCTCAACACCGCAAAACCCAACCCAAGCGGCTTCGGCCTCCAAGAAACAAATCCTCGGCCTCGCCGCCCCCGAGTTTTTGAGGACGCGGACGGGGACGGGTTCTTGTACTCCACCGAGCTGCGGGGCCTGGCGTCGGCCATGGGCTTCGAGGGCAGCGACTCCGAGTGGACCCAGGAAGACCTGAACCTACGTTCGTGTGTGTGTGTGTTGTGTGTGTGGGTGAAAAGAGAACAAGAGAAAGCTGGACAAAATGTTTGTACCACCGAAAATTGGTTCCGAAAGTTGCTTTTTGTGGGAGAGACATGAGGGCCTTGACGGACAATTTGTAATTTGTGATGTTTTTTTTCTGGGGCCAACCCGAGATTCGGGATGCCAAACAAACTCCCTTGGCGTCGGGATCGAGGAGTATGTCATGATCTGCACGGAGGTGGGCTGCGATCCAACCCAGGGCCTCGACTTCCGGGGCTTCTCTCGCATGGTGGATGACGAGGAGGCGGGCTCGCTCGCGTCCTCGCCTCTCGGGCGCGCGCCGTCTGCGAGTCTTCGGGTTAGCAACGCCCCTGAAGTCGACTTCGACCTTGGCCGCCTCGTGTTTTCTTCTTGTTTTCTTCCTTTTCTGAAGTTTGTTTTTGTTTCTTTCTTTCTGAGCAAGGCTTTGCCATGGATTGCAATGGTGCCACATTCACATTGGCTCCATGCAGATACGGCAAAGATACGGCCACGTTGCAATGAGCTCGAGGCCGGCTATTTGGAGGACGAAGAAATGGTCGACATCTTGCAAAGCCGCTGACGGCGTTGGGTTGCTGGCCCTGAGCTTGGCAATGTGTGACAAGTCGGACGCCTCGAAATGAGCAGCATTCAAAAGCAGCATGAATACGTCAGAGCTGTTGCCTGCAAGTTGCGGCACAACACGAAAACATGATACATGGTGATGGCTTCTTGTTTGGTTTCATGTTGGACTGAGATGGCCAACAAAGTGTTGCTATGGTCCTCGCTTTCACACATTTGCCAGCGGCATGGCAGGAAGGCAATCCGAGGTATGCGCTTTCGCTGGAGCTCCACGAGTGCGAGTTTCAGCGAGGAAAAAGGTCTCGCCTTCCGTGCCACGGAACACTTTCCGCAGCTAGGAGGGAGGTTTCACTAGAGCCAACTGGAAGGGAGGCGGCGAGGGGCCAGTGAAGCTTGGGAGTGGTGAAGAGAGAGATTGTACTTGCAGCTGTTTCCTCATGACCTCGGAGCACAGAGATCCAATGAAAGAACACACGTCAAAACTTGGTCCCTTGCGATTTTCAGATTTTGAGCGGTTTTTTTAGGGTTAGTGGGGGTTTCCATGTGACCCAGTAAAGTTAAGCATTTAGCAGGGGATCAGTTTGGACAGCCCAGAAAAAGTCAATCCCTGAAAGATCATCCTGGTAAATCTGCAGGGCTTTGCCCCCGAAGATCGCCCCGCGCCAGGCACTGCCGAAGGCTGGTGACGGGCATTGTTTTTTGCTGCGCGCGAGATATTGGGAGCCAGTTGAGATTTCACCGTCTTCAAGCTGGCATGACTTCGCACATATGCAAAAAGCTGCAGCTGTTTTTTTTTTTCAAATAACATGTGGTATCACTTGCGTTTCATTTTGTCCCATCACCATCAAGGGCTCGTCGGCCCATTTGGTTGCCCGGGACACCCGCAGTAAAATAACTACTCCTTTGGCAGACTCTCCCTGATCTCTCTGAAACTGTTTTGACATACCCCTTCTTTAGAGGACCCCAAAAAGGGCTGTGTGCTCCTTGTGGTTTCCCTTTAAAGCCACAAAAAAAGGTGCCCTCAAAAGAAAGACACCCCTGATGTTTCTTTTGAATGCGCAAATGTAGTTTAATTAGTTGTATTAATATTTTCCCATGGGCACTTGGTTTTGGGGGGGTGCCCCTTTTCTAGACCTAGCCAGGGCCATTAGCACATTGTGTCGGTCTGTTGTCTTGAGGCCACTGAAAGCGACCCCTGCTATCCCCGGAAAAAAAAGAAGAGATCAGATCCTTCCAAGAACCATCATCATCATCATCATCGTCATCATCGTCATCATCGTGTTTGGTCGGCAGTATCCGTGCTCCGGGATCCCTGCAGCGCAAACAAAAACGGATTTCCTCAGCTCGCTCGCACCGGAGATGTTTGGTTTCGAGACGTGAGAGCATTGCAGGCAAAGAGAGCGGCGCCGCTCCCGGCCGGCCTTCGGTTGAAGGGCAAAAGGGAAGCCACAAATTTGGGGGCCTTAAAACGCGCACTCAAATTGTCAGTTTCTTTGGAGGATCTTTTTTTGTAGGGACAATTTCGAGCCTCAACCCATGTCGCTTAGGTGAGAAGCCGCGGGCCTTGCCGGACTCGGGCGTGGCCACGGCGGAGTTTCCTTTGTCGACATCGGGGGCTCGCGTCTTGGGTTATCAAGGCGGTTGGTCGGTTTTAAAGGGAAACCATGGAAGGGCAACAGGCCGGGGCCTTTTTTTTGTGGGAGGGGAGGTCCCTAAAAAAATGACACACCCAGATCTCCACCTGTCTTTTTTGGAAGGCAGAGCTGCTTTCAGAGCTTGTACAGGCATGGAAAGGTTTGGAGCTATGCATTGCTTGTATGATATGCATGCACATATATATATATATATATTTATATGTATTTACATATATATATATATACTCACACATGGATTTGCATACACATGCATATGTATATATACATACATGTATAGTATATATATATATATATGTATATATCACAATATATATTCATCATGCATATATATATATATATTGTGTTGATACATGTGTATATATATATATATAATTGTACACATGCTGTAACATTCAGGCAACAATGTATATACATATATACACAAATCAGCCCCCTGTCCGGGATTTCCTTAGCAATGGCCTTGTGGCAGGCACATGAGCGCCGTTTGCCTAGCAAGGAAAACGTGAACGAGGAGCCGACAAGTCAGAGAGAGTCGATCGTCCCGGCTTCTGATTTTATGGTGTTTGTTGTTTTGGGTGGTTTCGCTTCTATGTTCTGTTTGTTGTGTTTTGTCGTGGTTTTGTTGTGTGTGTGTGTGTGTGTTTTCTTGTTTGCTTTGTGTATGTGTTTTCGATTTTGTTGGTTGTATTGTGTTTTGTCTTATGTTGTTCACGTTGTTTTTTGTTGTTTTTGTGGTTTTGTTTGTTAGACACTTTCCAGCAAACCCAGGGGGGTCTGAGCGGGGGCTGTCAACCATGCTGTGTTATTGTTTGTGTTTTGTTTGTATGTGATTTTCTTATGGTTTGTTGTTTTGTTGTATTTGCTTAAGTTGCTTATGTTGTTGTTTCGATTTTTTTTTGCATTGTGTGTTTTCGCGGTTTTCAAAACCACGCTGGGAGTAGTCACATAACTTACAGAGACGCGAGAGACCTTGGATAAGCGGTTTACTCAGCTTCCCTCTAGTTGGTGGTTTGGATTGCCCATATACCCTCCACAAGATACGGGGTTCGAAGTTCATATCCAATTCCCCCAATCCAGACCACCAAGCACAACACGACCGAAAGAACAACAAAACACAAATCCCCAAACCACAAATCCAATCCACTGACCACCAAGTAAGGGTGACCTGATTTCCACTGGATGTGCCCAATCCCTGCACAGGACATTGGCAACACCCAATTGCCTCAACCCGCAGGCGGGACGAACTGGGTTCATCGACGTCAGATCGATCACGGAAAATGGTCAAAGTTTTTTTTCGCAGCCGCCTGGCAACAGAGGCGTCCTTGTTGGCTGGAAATAGATGGGTTCCGCTGGTATAGATTGGTGCCCCATGACTGCCAGGGAACCCCTCTATTTGGCCGAAAGGTCACCTGTGCAGCTTACAAAGGCAGGACTGTAACGTGAGGGAAAAGGAGTGCAAGCCCATCGAGGCACGCAACTAGTTTTTCAAAGGGTCTTGGAGATGGAACTTGGGCAACATACTTTCAGCATCCCAAGAGCAAATAATTGTCAGAAAGATCCTTTGCACTTCCCAACATCCTATCATCATTACAAGTTTCTTCCCATCATCCAATCCCAGTCGCAGATGAATTGCAGAATGCCACACCAGCTAAAGCCTTTGGCAATTCCCTCAACAACCCCAGCATTGCATGCCTCGCAAGCCCTGCAGATCTGTGGCCCCCAGCACCTGCATCTTGTCCAGCATGGCCTCTGCATTTGATGCGTCGGGGTCCTGCATGTTCATGTGGCCGTGGGTCAAAACCAATGCTACCATTTTGGGGTAGGTGCACCACCCATTTTAGTCTATTTCAGTGGGTATTGGGATGTTCACTGGGGGCTCGGGGTTTTGACCCATGGCCATGTGGCAATTTCTGGGGGCGCTTGGGCCAAGGAAGGCCCTTTTGCAGGCGGTATCTCATCCACAGCTTCCACCTTGAACCAATCGCCCTGGCGTGACGTCTCTGCCTCAATCGCGGTTGAGGCACTTGCAATGGAAGTTCTGTTTGGGTCAAGCGCGCCTCCCGAATCTAAGAGTGGAGATCCGAGAAGGGATCCCTTCCCCCTTCAAGCTGGGGCGCGGCACTCCCAAAGAAAACAACTTGGCGGAGCCACAGTTTGCGCTTGGGGTCTTCGCAGCCTGTTGGAATATGGGGTTTGTCAGTCGCCCCGACTTTGTGAGATGGCCCAAGCCGGCTGTTGGTGAGCAGAACGATGCCTCAGTTTGGATTCGCACCTGCTTTTTGAAGGCTCTGAAGCTCTGAAGGGTTTTGGCCTTTAAGGCTTCTTTGGTTGGCTTGGGATTTTTTCTCTGTGCCATCTGGGTGCTTGGGCTCCATGCGCGAAATGCCGTTGTGCATGGAAGAAGCGCGCGGGAGACGTATCGCAGGCGCTTTCCGCAGGCGTTCATCTCAAGGGGCTGCCCTTAGTCTCTAGATTTGCCGGAAGATGTTTTTGCGCTCTCGCGGCCTGGCAGCAATTCCTCGAGATGGCAGACTATCAAAAGCCTCACATTCGCTGGTGGCTGAACCTTTTACTGGTTCCTGACACGCATAGAACATCGTGTGATGGCACTTTTGCAAGGATGTGCTGTTGAAACGACCCACACATTCACATCGCTTGCTGCATTGTGAGACTTCCTGGTGTCACCTGAGTCTGACAAGTCCGCTTTCATCGGTTTCCATCGGCTAGATCCATGTCGGCTGTTTCTGCCAGGCATTCTCCGGGCGTCCAGGACGCATTACGGTTTCAGGGTGTGAAGGAGCAGCCAGAGGGAATAGAGACGGAATTGGAGCCGAAGATTTGTGGATTCATTCCCCGGATTGAGGAAGTTGGAGGTCTTGGAGCAAGATGTTGAGAATCTTTTTGCTTGGGGAATGGAGAGGGTCATTGAAGTCGACGCAAACTGATACAATGTGGTCTGTATGAGGTGATGCACTTGCGTTTCAATGGGTGGCACGCGAGTCTGGTGCGAGAGACTGCCCTTCGAGAGATGGACCTTCAAGCCTATTCGGCGTGTTTTCTTCAAAGGTCGGACCCCCCCCAAAATGGCTTCGGTCTTTCTTTTGGTTCTGCTTCAAAACAGGGGAGTACCAACTCCAAAGAGAGAGAGATGCCCTACCGAAGCCCCCCAAATGGTGGTCTTCCTTTGGGTTTTCCTTGAAAGCCCACAAAACAGCTAGGGGGCCCTCCAAAGATCCATAGCCTAATGAAGCACTGCCCTCCGAACTGAGCCCAGAACCGAACCGAGGCCGGCGGCGGGGGCATCGCCGACAAGATGTTCCCCGGCTACAAGGCCCTTCGCTTCGCAGAACCGGCCGGTTGGAGACTTTCACCTATCGCGATAGGTGGGGAATGACAGCCGAGTCTGAACCGGATCCGAAAATTCTCGGAAAAAAAAAGGGAACCATGGGATGGAGGGTTTACAGTGTCAAAGTTTCGGCCGGGCTTCAAATGGCCAAAAAAGCCCAAAGCGTCCAACCTGGAGCGGAGTTCTGTGCATGGAACTCCTATTTGAGGGTGGTTTTTACTGCTGCGGTCAATGAGGTTGACGCCAAACGCTTGCCAATCGGAATTGCATCCCACAGTTCATACATTGTTGACATATATAGATTATCAATAAGGACGTCTTTTTCTTTCTTTTTGTTCAGAGTCCCATGTGTAAACCAGGGATTGGAGCCCACCTTTTGGTGGCTCCCCCCAACCCCTCACCCCCAACCCCAAGCCGACAGGACAAGGTCTGGGCGCGGCTGCCGCAGGGAGTCAAGGAGTACCAGGCCGGGAGGGCAAGCTTCAAGCGGCCGCGGCGGCCGTGTTTTTTTTTTTTTTTTCTCGGATGAAGCTTCTCCCTGGAGCCGCATGGGGAGGCCCTCGGACCTCGTTTTTGGGAGGCCTTTCTGGGTAATCGGCGGCGGGGGGGGGGGGTGGGTTGCGGTTTGGTGTCGTTTTTCGGGGGACCGTTCTTTCTTTCTTTCTTAAGCGTCGAGAAGTCTCTGCTAATGCCCTCGCGGAGCGGTCACTCCACCCTCTTGAATTCAGCAAAATCGATGGCCCCGTGGCCGCATTGGGGGACGCGCCCAAAACCGCTCTGCACCCGCCAGGTGAAGAGCGCCAACAACGCCTTCGAGAGCGGGCTGAAGCAGCACAAGACCTGGCAAGGCCGGGGTTTTTCAAGAGGCTTTGTCTCTGTATCGGCTTCTGATCTTTGGGTGCGTTGGTTTCTGGGCTTTTCTAGTTTTCCTTTTTTCTTTCCGGGGCTTTGGTGGGTTGTGCTGAGATTGGTCGTCTCTGAGTTTGGCTCTTTCTTTTGCCTGATGGAACTTTGCTGGATGGAGAGCCCGCGTGGGGAAGTCTTGGAGTCACAAAGGGAGAATCGAACCCCGAGAGACCCACTCATAGGATTCCCACCTCGGCTCCGATATTCTTGCCTTCCGTTCTTCCCCAGGGCATGATTGGGTTGTATCAAGTGTTACCCTCCCATCCGCAAACATGGAACCTCGCAAGGGGTCCTGGAAGACCATGTTCATTCACTACGGACCCCCTGCCTGGTAGGTTCCATGATAGTGGACCAGAGGGTGAGGGAGCCGAGGGCTGGGGATCGGAAAGAAGCCCTGCGACTTCTTAGCCATGAGGCGATGACAGGTGCCTATGACTAGAGGTAGACGGCCGCTTCTCGTGGTGGGGTTCGGTTCCTTCACGGTTCGGTTCGTTGCCGGTTCGATTCCTATGGTTCAGCTACTACGGTTCCCGGTTAGGTTTCTTAACGCCACCCTGCGTTGAATTCCATCTTGGTGAGTTCTGCAGAGGCTACCTCCTGGCTTGGAAGGACCGCGAGGGTGCTCGAGAGACAGGTTGACACCACATTTTGCGAGCTTTGTGCTGGATGTCATGTGCTTCGATCTTCAATCCACTGTGGATTTAAGCTTTGGACATGAACCTTGTGCCCGTGGACCCTTGGGGGTGGTTTCCTGCGTGGGTGACCGCATAGCCTTCACCAATTGAGCGGACGATGCTGCCGCATCGCTTCAGGTGGCTTACTATCAGCTGGTGCGAATGTTGCTTTTGGTATTCAAATGACATGGGAAAAGCGCGCGAGGACATGGAAGCCGGCTTTGCACCCTCGCAGAAGTACCGCAAGCAGGCCGTGGATTGGCGCAGGCGGGATTCATTCGGAAGGATCGCAGATCTCAAAGGCCTTGCACCCAAAATCACGGGTCACACATGAGGCAAATAGGTGGCATGGTTTTGTACAAAGAGTTTGCATGATTCCGGGTTTTGCGAGGCAGATGGAGCGTGGCACTATGCACTACGGACGATGGCCCAACTGACACGGTTGAAGATCGGCTTGGTTGGCTGAGTCTGAGATGGTATGCTCGATAGGAGATCCCAATGGTCAATTCGCCGTCCGAATGGCTGGTTTGGATTCGCAGGCTTTGAACCTCTGTTTCTTGTGGGTAAATGGGAAGCCGCCCCCAAGCTTCCAAACGACCAAACCAGCAAGCGGGGTTCTTGTGGGTAAAATGAGAGACGCTGCCCTCCCACCAAGCTTCCGAACCAGTTCGGGGAACGATGAAATGGCATGCGACGTTGATCTTGGCCAGGTATGAGGGCCCGAAGAACACGGACTACCGCCCAGGCAATACGCACGATCGCCTCACCGCCGACCCGCTGGGCGCCCCAGCGGGGCGCAGGGGTCTCTCTTCAGCCCGATTTCGCTGGGGTCTGGAAATGCCACCCATGGTCCCAGATGCTGCATCTCTCGCGCATTTTTGCGGGGAAAAAAGGCAGTCCGAAAGCCTCAAAGCCTCAAGAGGTACAGAGCATGGGACACCTGAGGGTTGGCTGATTTTCGCTACACCTTTCGTTGCTTCCCAACGGCACGAGATGGCCCGCAAGCCGAGCTCCGAGCTCCGAGCTCGGCAATTTGAGGCGCGCCCACTTCACGGAACCCGAGTGGGAGGAGCGCAAGCAGTATAGGCGCGGAGGTTGACCAGCTTCATGGAGCAGGTTTGGGTGTCTGTGTGTGTGTGTGGCTTACCCTTCTCTAAAGCTCGCTGGGTTGTTTGTGTGTGTGTGTGCGCCTTGTGTGAGTGTGTGAGTGTGTGAGTGTGTGCAGATCCCATTGCATGTGTTGTCAGTCCTTGAGCTAGCTAATCTGCACAAGTGGACGTGCGCGATCGTTTTCCTTGCGAAATCGAGTCGTCCCAATATACACTTACATTACAAGCCACTGTCTCAAAGCATCGTGGAATCAAACAAGCTGGGAAGCCGCACGTCTTGCAACTCGTTGTTCTCAGCGTATCAATACCTGATCCGGGTGTCCACATGCTTCGTGGGGTTTTCCATAGATTCAACATATGAAACCGAGGAAGATCTCAGGTTTTCTGGTTTCCTCGTCCCGAAAAATGCCGCGTGTCTGGTGTTTGGTGCTCGCTTTCGGAGGTCCTGGGACCTCATGAAGTTCGGGTATGGCCTGCTGGCGATCTTCCTGGGCTACCGTGTGACCAACGAGTGGCCTGTGGTCTGGTGCGAGGAGTGCGACACCGCAAAACCCCTGGAAACGCTAAACCGCAGGCCCAGCAAGCGGAATGGGGGAAGGAATTTTGGTGATGCGTGGTTTTTCTTGAGCCGTTTTTGGGGGTAGCTTGAAGGGAAAGTGGAAGGAACACGGGGGCCGTTTTGGTGGTCCCCCTATCTGGAGACATACCCCGGTACCCCGAGACGTGTCTCATTTTGCTGGGGGGGGCAGGTGGGCGACGGAGAGTTTTTTGCCTCGAGGGCACACAAGTCCGTCAGGCTGCTTCAAGGAATCCAAGCGGTGGCTTGGATTTGGTGTTTCATTGTGGAAACGCGACAAACCACACCAAACGCTTAGGGACACACACACACACAAATACAATGCTTAAAATACCCACTTGACAACAAATGTGCTGCTTGATATCGTCAGTTCGACCATGGCATGTCAAACGTCGAAATTTCCAGCAGGCGACCACTCAAATCGGCAGGGAATCCAGGGGGGACTCGCTGGGAAGGCGTGAATTCTGACCGTGGCTTGGGCTTCAGGAGAAGGCTGAGTGAGCACTTCCTTGGCATCTTGCGTTTGACTCGGCAGTCTCAAAACAAAGGCACCCAAAGACTGAAAGGATCCATTGGCAGATAATCCGAGTTGTCCTGTGAGCGATGGACATGGTTGAGAAGCTTCGTCAGAGGGTGCCACACCGGGATTCCGCGGAAGGATTATTTCAGGGCGCGGCAGCCCGCAAAGGCATCCGCGGAAGATGTTGCGAGATGTGATGCCGCGGAAGGCCGCGGAAGCTGCGCGTTTGTTGCCAGAAGCAGGCCCAACAATTTGTACTTGTCCTTTCTCCGAAGTTTCTGACCAGCTGCGCAACGAAGAAGGCAGAATACTCCCCAATGTTTTGTTCTTTCGGCAGCGCAGCGCAGCTTTTTGTCGATTCGGCGTGTGGAAAATGGCCTGTGCGGTCCGGGTGCGGTTTAGCTTCCAAGCCACTTCCCCGTCTTCCCCCTGCAAAGCCCCGAGTTTTATCTAGCGAGGAGCACTCAACCGACCATAGGCGTGGCTGACATGCTGTGGAACTCTTCCCGATCCCCGCCGTGATTCTCTTGTACTGTGCATTTCAAGCAAAAATGGAATAAATTAGTATGAGTCATTTCGCCTGGCTAGCCGTCTTGGGTTTAAATGGATGCTGCCTGATTCCGGACTCCTTTGTGGCAGCATGTTGATTGTTGCAACATGGCTACCCAGCTCGGCCATTGCAAGCAGAACCGGGGAGCATGAGATGCGCGCATCGGGCTAGCAGTTGCCTGCCTTGGCCTTTGGACCTTTTAAATTTGCCAGTCTTGGTCGCTTTTTGGTGGCAAGAAGCATGAAGTTGCAAGCATATTTCGGCCACTGTTGCATGCTCCCGCTGCGAGGTCAAAAACCAGACCCCATTTCGGAATTTCGGTGCTGAAACCGAGGCCAAAGGAGAAACCCCCCAGTTCCCCCAGTTTTTCGGCCAGACACCTTGGACTCCGAACGTGACATCGGGCCCATTGCTTGGCTTTTTGGGGTTTGTTGCTCCCGCAACTGAGGAGCCGAAGCGGGATGGCCATAGCCCCAAAGTGGGATTCGAGTGCTCGGGTTGGATTCGAGGATGGCATTGGATTCGGAGCCGATTCGCCCCAGATTTTACCCAAGGGTTTCAGATGAGTCCACCTGTTTTGTTTTTGGGATGAACGAGGGGTTCTGGCCATTCTCAGGGGCAAGAGCCGTGCGTTTTTCTTTTCTTTTTGTTTTATTATTAATATTTATGGCGATCGTTCAAGAAAGGTGAGTGTCATGTTCGGCATATTTCTGGCAGAGGTTATTGGTTGAACTGGAATGTGCGCAAAGCACGGGAAGGGATGGGGCAAAGAAACGAGAACATGACATCGCCAACTGAGCTCCGTTTTTGACGGTGCCTGATGGATTGCGGAATGGTCCCAAGCCAAAGCGTTTTGCCGAGCGGTCTTTGCTTCCCTTGCGATGTTTGGGTGTCCGACTTTTTTTTCCCTCACGAGTTGGGTAGGATCAACCCGAGCTAAGAGTTCCATAGAGGCATGTACTTCTGACAATTGGGTCTGTCTTTCTTTGAGGGTACCCTTCTTTGGTGGTCTTTAAGGGAGAACCAAAAAGAAGAAAACATGCATTGGGGGTGTCCCCAGAAAAAAGACAGGCTCAAAGCTATGTCCAAAGGATCCATCCCCTCCGATGCGACCCTGGGGTTTTGGGTGGACCGCGCGCAGATCGCGGCCACGAGAGGCGCTTTCGCGCCTTCGCCGGATTCGCGGGAGCCGCGGGTTCGGGTGGACCGGTGGACCTCGAAAATGGGCCGGCGGGGCTTTCGGTTTGCCTGAAATCCATAAAGGAAGAGTACCCCCCCCAAAATCAGGCATTTTTTTTTGGGGGGGAAATTGGCCTCATCCAAATTGGTTGACCAGCAATCGTCCCCAAACCCGAGATTTTCAAAAAGTGATGGGAAGCGTCACCACACAGACTGGAAGCCTGTAGCCCAAGCGACTCATGAGGGGATCAATCTGCCGAGGGAGGAATTGGACCCGCTTTCTCTGCTCGCAGTCAGCGCAGGAGCGCAGCAGCTCTTTTGCGCCATAGCTCAACATGCACTCATGGCCACGTGCGAGAGGGATATCAGGAGCATGGCATGATCTATGATCTATGAGACTTTCAGTCAGTCTTATCTGGCTGAACACTACAAATCGGCCATAGACAGGGAACATCTTCCGCCGATCTGATAGGTATTACAGCAGCAGAGAGAGACATTTCGTGCTTCCCGGGCGCGCTTGATCTCGCGCCATGACGCGCCGGGTCCGGGTCCCGAGACCTGAATTTGACAACCATCACAACAGATTAAAGTCTTGAGGCTCAAAGGCTGTTGTTGTTTTTTTGCGGGGCATGGCTTACCGGGTCTCCAAATTGTACCGGGACCCACACAATTTCAAGTTAGTGGAAAGGCTACTGCCAACCAACATTATGGGATGATTTTTTTTTTGCTAGTTTGAGTGTCCAGGTAGATTCTATGGCCTTCCAATTTGAACGTTCTCGTGCCGCAGCCCCCGGCACTTGGCCCCGGGTTGAGAAGGCCAACCAGGTATGTGATTTTGGGAATTCGGGATATGTAAGTGGGAGCTTGGGTGGGGGGAAAACGAAGGTGCTGCCCATCTTGCAACACTCTGCTCAAGACTGTTTTCGGGCCATCTTCAGAAAGGGTCAGTTGAACTGAGTAACGCCGAACACATTTTTTGTCCTTAAGGTGAGAAATGTAGATACCAGCGACTGGGACGATGGCTGGGACGACAGCTCTTGGGGCGGCGGCTGGGGAGGCGGGGGTGTTGCCTTGAGCAGATGTCAAGACTTGCCTTTGAGGAGACTTGAGCAGATCTCGCGTGACCTATTTCCTCGATGTGTTTTTTTCATTGCCCAGTTTGCCGGATGGCCAGATCGACCCCCTGGAAAGAAATCAGCACATGTCTTTCCTAGCCAAGCTCTCGGACTTTCGAAGAAGGTGCCGTGAGTGAGTCAAGCGCCATCTCGTGTGCAGGCGGTTGGGATGAGGCCCGCTTTGGACTGGACATGCTGCAGCAGCCCACATCCAGGAATCAAAGGGGTTACATGGATCCCATTCCAACTGTATCCCAAGATCTGGGGGTTGACCAACATGTCCTTTGCATGGGCCAATCAGTAGGGAGAACCACCAAAAAGACCGCCTGTGCCATGTCGGGAAAGTTTTTGTTTTTTTTGGGGGGGGGAGTATTTCCTAGTTGAAAAAAACACATGCTCATTTGGCGCAGAAATTTTGATCCACCCACCCACGCTTCCACGTCCAGAGTCGCCAGGGCTATGTGAAGGCCAAGGCCAAGCCGAAGGCTGCCCCGAAAACCATCCCCGGCATGGCGCCGGCCAAGGCGAGCGGATCCGTGGGGAATCTGGGGGGGGGGGGGGGGGGGCGGGGGCGGGGGCATAGGTATTGACCCCTAGTTAAATCAACTGGGGTTGATTAATAGGTGGATGGTGGGTGAGCGGATCCGTTCAGATTAGGGGGTGTTCCCCTCCAAAAGTGGTCTGATCCCCCCCAAACCTAGGGACACCCCCCTAATAAACAGGTTGGTTGATTCGTCCGGGGTCCACATCAGGTGTCCGCATCGGGATCCTACCCGAATCCATCAGGCCAAGTCCTCCGCGAAGTCGGCCCCCAAGGCAGAGGCTGGACGCCCTCGTCGCGGAGGGGGGCGGGGACCCTTTCCATCAATGGGACGCCTCTCACAAATGAGTGCACATGGCAGTGACTCTTTTTTTGTTGAGAGGGGGGGGGAAGCCTCTTACCATCACAAGTGAGACCACGTGGCAGTTGTTTTTTGTGTGGGGGGGGGGGGGGGCGGAGGAGACCTGTTACAAACGGTTGGTGGGCATAAATCATGCCCTCTTTGGGCTCGCACTCTGCAGATCGGCGGGTCGGCATTTCAACCGAGTCGTCTCGGAGCAGAACCGGCTCCATGTTGATAACGGCCGCTGCCGAAGTCAGCCTCCCTAATCTTCCAACCCTGGGCGAGAGGTACACTGATCCGTGACTTTAACGTTGGCGTTGCCCATGGCTAGTGGTTGGACCTACAAGCTTTCTTCCAAGCCGTGCGTCTAGATACAGGGGTTTCAGCAGAGGGATGGACGGATGCCTGAGATCGCCAAGCATTGTAAGGATCATCCACAAAGTACTTGGCTTCGTCTCAAATTTGGAGGACGCCTCCAAAATGGTTGGTTTTTTTCTTCCTTCCAGCCAAGGGTTTCCTCAAAAAAACAAAAACAGCCCTGAAGTGTTTTCCAGAAAGTGGGCAGGCGAAGCCGGAGGCCAAAGCGAAGGCAGACGCGGCAGAAGGGTCGGAGAGAGAATGCGTTCGCTTCGTTTGGTCTCCACTGGACAGGGAAGGCTGCCGGGAAAGGGCCATATGGCAATGGACTCTAGCAGGACCTCAAATGGCTGGTGGACGCTCATATCCGCCGAATCCCGATGTCCCACCATTTCGGGCCCCAATTTCACATCATAGCCGTATGGAGGTTTACTCGCATGGTTTCAGAACCGAGCCTTTCGGGTTTTCAGGAACAGCACGCGTGCCACAGCCTCAACTCATTTGAGCCTTGCCAGGAGAAGGTTGAGTCGCCAGAGGCTTGCAGCTGGCACTTCTGGAGTTGCCAACAGAACGAGAAGCGTCGTGGCGTTGGGTCGATCCTTTCGTTTGGCACTCGTTCAGGAGGCGCCAGAGCTTCCTCCGGAGACTGCTGATAGCTCAGATCCGCTGGGATTACTTTGGTGCATTTGCTTGGATGTTAGGGCTTTCACTTTTGGCCAACGAAGGGGTTTTCCATTAAACCACTAAAAGTTAAACTTTTTAGCAGGGGAGCAGAAAGCAACCGAGATTAGAGGGTGCCACTGGAGGAGTCTTTTACAATTTCAGACTCTCCGCCATTGACTCAGAGGCCCCGCAAGATGACCGTCCGACCATCAGCCTGGTGGTCGTCGGTCATGTTGATGCAGGGTCTTGCTGGCACGTTCACCACGTGACGTGTGAATGTGCAGAGACAGAGAGAGAGGGAGACAGAGAGAGAGAGAGAGAGAGAGAGACAGAGAAAGAGAGAGAGAGAGATGTGCTGCGGCGCATTCCTTCCCCCAGACTAACATGGAAGCTCCCAGGACCCCTTTGGAAGACTTGGTTCCATTTACAGAGGCCTTGTGGGAGCTTCCATGTTAGTCTGAGGGAGTGTTGCTTCTGGAGAAAGCTCAGTCAGCCGGTCTGGCTTCAGCGCAGAATCAGTCGCGGGAGACATGGAATTTATCCCCAGAAACACGAGATTCGTCTTCCAGAGGGCGCCACGAGCGAGCGTTCAAGCGTGTCCCCCCACGTCATTGTGCTACCTGATCTTAACCATGCCACGACTTCACGACTCATGGCGTTTCGACAGCATGGATACTTGCGCCTGAAGCAGCCTTTTTTTCGCCTTGGGTGCAACTCACTTCTTCCAAGGTTCTTCCTTTCCCAAACAAAACGCGGGGGGGGGGCTCTAGACGGCTCCTTTCATCCCCCCAAACCGAGCCACCGGGCCACGCGCCGACTCGCCGCGACGCGTTCCGCGCGCCGATGGATTGGCCCCTGAGCTCCGCGGAGAAGCGGGGCCGCGCCTTCGAGCTCTACCAGCGCGAGGCGACTCGGGGCGAATCGAAGGGCTGGCTCCAGGCCATCCGGTTGGTTCAACTTAGCTTTGTATGATCATTTTTGGTTGAGTGGTTGAGTTTTTTTTTTGTTGAGTTTTTTTTGAGTTTTTTGAGTGGTTGAGTGGTTGAGTGGTTGAGTTTTTTGAGTTTTTTTTGAGTTTGTTGAGTGGTTGAGTGGTTGAGTGGTTGAGTTTTTGTGTGTTTTTTTGAGTTTTTTGAGTGTTTGAGTGGTTGAGTCTTTTGAGTGGTTGAGTTGTTTGAGTGGTTGAGTTTTTTGAGTGGTTGAGTTTGTTGAGTGGTTGAGTTTGTTGGTTGGTTGAGTGGTTGAGTTTTTTGTTTTTTTTTGAGTTTTTTTTGAGTGTTTGAGTGGTTGAGTTTTTTGAGTGGTTGAGTTGTTTGAGTGGTTGAGTTGTTTGAGTGGTTGAGTGGTTGAGTGGCTGAGTTTTTTGAGTGGTTGAGTTGTTTGAGTGGTTGAGTTTTTTGAGTGGTTGAGTGGCTGAGTTTTTTGAGTGGTTGAGTGGTTGAGTGGGTTGAGTTTTTTGAGTGGTTGAGTGTTTGAGTGGTTGAGTGGTTGAGTTTTTTGAGTGGTTGAGTGGTTGAGTGTTTGAGTAGTTGAGTGGTTGAGTGGTTGAGTTTTTTGAGTGGTTGAGTGGTTGAGTGGTTGGGTGTGCATTTGACCCACGCAGAGTTTTCGACTTTGTAAGCAGGGAGGGATCTCAGGGCCCAGGAACAAACAACAATCAAAGTCTGATTGTCCTTTGATTAAAGAATCGTTTGGCATTTTCTTTTTTGAGGGTCTGTAACAGAGCCGCGGCGGACATGCGTTGCATCCCACGTCACATACCTGTGACAAGCACTGCTGGCGCGTTACACCCCCTCGTTACATACCTTCGTTATATACCTCACGTGAACGAAACGGCCTTGCTGGTTGCATGCGCCTCGTTACTAAGATACCCCGATGCCTGCTCGGACTCTTAGTGAATTCCGATGGGTGTTTGCAGAAAACACTTTTTGCAGAGCATGCTCTTGCTGAAGAGTCAACTTGCAGAGAGCTTGCCATTCAAAAGAAAAGTCGGAACTGACTTGGCCGGGAGGGGCCGGAAGAACGAATGCTTCGCCACACGCCTGGTTACATACAGACCCAACCTCAGCTTGAGCTGGGCTTGTCAGGCACTGTTGTGTTTTCCGGTTATCAGCTGCGTAACATGGACTCCCCGTTACATACCTCCGTATACAGATTCGTGCCACGTCGGGCGTCACATACCCTCAAAAAGTCATAATCGAAAAACGTATACGTCATAGCCATTTGAGGCTCCGCGCGCGCATTTGGGTGGCTGAACGCTGTCCAGCGCGCATGATTGTAGAGGAAACGGCAAGCTTCAATTGCCCCCCCCTGAGGTTACAGCCGTGGAGGTCTCGCTGCAGGCGGTCGCGTCCGGCGGGCTGCGTTGGTAACAGGGCGCTTAGACTTGACTTCTGTTGACCCGGTGTGCCAGATGGAAACCCCTCCGACGCCTGGGTGTGTGGCCTGCGTGATTCGCGTTTGCCTTTCTTTTGAAGGGTGAAAGTGGAGGTCCCTGAAATGCCGGACAATGTTTCCAACTAGGCAGCGGTTCCATTGCCCTCCCCGCAATGGGGAATGGAGGCAGTGGAGCGCGAACTCCAGAAACTCCGGCAGCGCGATGTGGCTTGGGACCTCAGCATTGCCAATTAACTGCCGGGGTCTTGGGTTTCCGCATTCAACTACTGGTTGCTTCCCTTGGAACGGAACGTCCAGATGCCGCAATGTTTTTCTTTTTGGGCGGCTTGCTTCTGCCTTCGCCCAAGATTTAAATGGCGTGGCCCCTGCCCCCTTGCCCCCGTGGAGGGATTGCTTCTTAGTGGCATGGCCAACGCCCAGGCCACACCATGTCGGAGGAGTGAGGCATCCGGAGCCTGTGCAGCTAAACACATGGTTGTGGTTGTGAAAAATAGGGCTGCGGCCCAAACCCTGTTGGTTTAATTCTGACCCAAGGCCGCATTGGGAAGCTTGTTTGACTGCTCAGGCGCCCAAACCAGGGTCTCCTACTGCTTCATGTGGCCTCAGCTAGGGCTTTAGTTTTGGCACAACCCCGCTGTTGGGAGCCGACCAGGTGATTGAACATCACACATGCAATACGTTGAACGGTTTTGGAGGGACGACATGGTTGGACCTCCCTGCAAAGTGGCCAAGCGTGAAACCTTGGTGTCCACCACGGAACCCCCTTTGGACCCATTAAACATTCACATTTGGTGACCCATGTTCAATCGGCCCCTTAAAAGGAATGGACCCATTTAATCGCAGCATGTGAATTCCTTTGGGAGCTCGGTCTGTTGAAAGGCCCATCAATATGCCGCAGGTGCGGCAGCTGGAGCCACACCTCCCAGAGGTGTGGTCATGGCTTCCACATGCGTTTTTCACTCTTTCACTCACCCGCCATCAGAACACCCTGGGCTTAACTACACCCTAAGCATAAGCCCTCTTATATGCTAGTCTGGACAAAGCCCAAATAGCCTGCAGCATGCCTTTTGCTGAACAGAATAGCCGCAGCGTCATCCAAGTACAAAGCAAGCCAGGCAAGAGCGTGATGCCTTTGGCACTTTGCAGCCGTAGGTGTCCTTTTTATAGGATACTTTTGGCTAGACATTGGAACCCCAGCCATTTTTCCACAAGGTCGCCTATGTTTGCAGCTCCATGGTTTTCACGGTACTCTGCTTCGCTCAGGAGGACATCTGCAGTATATCGTTCCAGCTTTTTCCACGCAAAGCCCGCGGCCTCACATCTGCAGCCCAATTTCTTCGCTTGCTGTGAGCCTCGCAGGCCCCGATCGTCACACCACGCCGGCGCTGGTCTCGCGGCAGGCCGCATACTCATGGGGGAGAATTCTCAGGTGAAATGGGCGACGAGTTGGACTCAAGTCGTGTGCAAACGTGAGGTGCTGCAAAAAACATGGTCGCTGCACTACCTCCCGCGAGTGAAAGATTCAGCTCAACCTTTGCGCTCCAGCTTCCGGATGCTTCCTTTTTTTTTGTTGGCGAAGTCGTGGATTTCATGTTGAACGCTCAGGGCTGAGGAGACGAAGAGGCCGGGATGGGGTCGTTTTGCCCGAGTTTGTCTGGAGGCTCTTTTGCGAGAACCCTGGATTTGCCCGGATGTCGGACATACCCGCGTTTTTTTCTCCATGGGAATTCGTGAGAGGCCCCATGTCGAGGCGGACAGGCCGGGGAGCTTGGAGTTCTGGGGGCATCACAGGTTGAAACCGTAGCTCTGGCTGTCATTTGAAAAACCTGGACTGCAACCCCTGGGGGTGCAACAAACTGGGCCAATTTCCGGTTACCATAGAGGTCGTGGATTGAGAGCGCATTGATCAGATAGAAGTTCAGAGGTACGGGCAAACTCTAGCGACCTCAGAAAGTGATGTGCGACCCCAATCAAGATGAAGTTCAAGGGCAATCATAACAGCCCCAGCTGCTTTGTGCCATGTCCAAAATTCCATTTGTACTGTCCAAAAAAGCAGTGGCGGGGGGGGGGGGGGGGTGCTGGCAAATGGCTGGCGTCCTTTTTCCCTTTCAACACGAATCCATGGGGCAACACATGGGTGCTCAAAATACAAGAGCCTGGGTTACACAGGCTTTAGGCTTTGTGTCCATTTGGGTAGGGGTCAAAATTATATCCCACCAGGATGGGTCTACCGCAGGTGAAATCGTCCTATTTCCATGAACCTCGATCGGGCTTGCGCCAATTTAAGGGGTGACCCGATTTCTTGACAACAACAAAGCAGAGCCGGACGCCTTGGTTTTCCTTTAAGCCAACCCCAAGCAACGGTCCACTTCCACGAGCCACAGCCACCCCGCATTCGCCTTCCGCGAGCCACGAGGCGAGAGGAGCCACGGCTCACCCGAGCTGCGTCCTGGGACACAGGTGCCACTGGCGAGTCTGTGCTGCCACCTACGCGTGTTTTCCATGCGGACAGGTGGGGCGGTCCATTGGTATGTGAAGAGAAACCGCTGTGTTTTGACCGGGGTCTGGAGTATTTCTTCAACGTTTGATGGGGGACAATCAATTCCTGATGTCAATCCAGAGTCTTGGCCGGATTTCTAATTTTGGTTGTTGCAAGGTGTTTCTCGGCCTTTGTTGGTTTTGACCCTGGTTGCGGGCCTTGGTCTTCGTTTGGTGTCACAGTGACTCCACTAGTCTGGTCGGGGTTGGTTTTGACCACCTTGGTTTCCTTTGCTCAAGCGCCTGAGAATTGGGTGTTCGCGCTTTTGGGGCAGCAGCGCCAATTTCCAAACTCTGAGCCAGAGGTGTGGTAAGTTGTCAAAAATGTGTTCGAGGAAAGTCTGAAGGTCACCAAACCTTGATTTACCTCGTGCTGTGCCTTTAGATGTAGTACATCTAGCTGCCTGCATAAAATTAGCAAACTAAAGAAAAGTCTCTTGCAAACTTGCCGTGTTTCGATCCTATCTCCTCCGCTCTCGACACAGTCTACTACCAACTGAGCTCAATCAAGGTTTGGTGACCTGCAGATTTTCTGGTCAGTTTCAGTGGGGAGTTGCTTTTTGATTCTTGGAGCGTTTGAGAGTCTCAAATGATTTATGTATGGACCATTTGAGGGTCTAATGTCCTGCTTCATAAATATATTAACACACTGACGGACCGTATATTATACATACATATAAACATACTTATAGACGACGAAACAAATAGGCATGAAGTGTATACTCATGTGTACATGTACATGCACATACATACATTGCACTTAGGCGTATATGCAGTCATGTGTGCACGTAAGTATGAATGTTGGTTGCTCATCCAGGGCTGTTAATGTGTTCAGTATTCTTTCATGTGGGCCAACACTTGCACGCAGCTCTGCTTGTGTCATCAACTGTGGCATGATCCATTGCTCGGACAGCTTTGGCACTATCCCGTTTTCCAAGAAGCAGATTTCAGGGTCGTAGTTGCTCGCTCACTCAAAACATGTCAGAATGTGTCAGAATACTGTCCGCGTCGCACGGACAAGCAACATGCCTTTGGGAAGCAAGACTATGGTTGTCATTTTTTTACCACCACTTGTGAGAACAAGTCCTTGAACGTCAGGCTTCATGTTGGTTGGTTGGTAAGTTTGTTTGTGTGTTTAGTTGCTTCATTGCTTGGTGGCTTGCTTGCTTGGTGGCTTGCTTGCTTGCTTGCTTGCTTGCTTGCTTGCTTGCTTGCTTGGCTTTGCTTGCTTGGCTTGGCTTGGCTTGGCTTGGCTTGGCTTGCTTTGCTTTGCTTTGCTTTGCTTTGCTTTGCTTTGCTTTGCTTTGCTTTGCTTCGCCTGCATTCGCTTCGCTTCGACTCGCTTTGCTTTGCTTTGCTTTGCTTTGCTTTGCTTTGCTTTGCTTTGCTTTGCTTTGCTTTGCTTTGCTTTGCTTTGCTTTGCTTTGCTTTGCTTTGCTTCGCCTGCATTCGCTTCGCTTCGACTTTTGCTTTGCTTTGCTTTGCTTTGCTTTGCTTTGCTTTGCTTTGCTTTGCTTTGCTTTGCTTTGCTTTGCTTTGCTTTGCTTTGCTTTGCTTTGGCTTGCTTGCTTGCTTGCTTGCTTGCTTGCTTGCTTGCTTGCTTGCTTGCTTGCTTGCTTGTTTTTGTTGTTTGTTTTGTTTGGCTTTGTTTGGTTTTGGTTCGCTTTTGCAGGCCGAGGGAACGCCGCGCGCCGGGTGCCGCTGCTGTCTTTGGAGCAGTTCCTAGGCCAGAGACCGAGTCCGTCTGGCGATTCGTTGGGGCGATCCCAGGGTTCCTCGGTGTCCTTGTTGGTGCTTGGCAACTTTCAACCATGGACCTCGTGTTCTTTGGAGTCACCCTCAAAAAAGGAAAGGGTGTCCTTTGGTTTCCCATTCAAACCGAGACCGGAAAGGGTGCAGGAGCCTCAAAACGGTTCCCCTCACGTTCTTTGGAGCCTTCAAATCAGGGAGGTCGCGGGCAGCTTGGGGGACTGTTGGACTCCGATCGATGGCCCAATGTTAGATGAACCAATTGCCCAAAACCAGGAATCGCCAGAAGGACGATCTTTCCGTTTTGAGGGTTCCCTTGGGTTCCGAGTCGGAAGCCATGCCGCGCTTTCGCTTTCCAGGACAAGAGGTGCCGAACTTCCCCTTCGCCTGAGTCTCTCGAGCGCCTAACCGGATTAAAGTGAAGCCCGACATGTGCCATGGACAAAAGACCCGGTTACTTGGGGTTAACGGTGGTCATCCACCTGGTAGTATAGGAGTTTTGGCCATAGGCCAAGGAGTTTTGACCATGGCGCACATGTGCAAAGCTAAGCATTTGAGGTCGGGATCTGAACCGCGGAAATTAAAATCTGGTCACTGCGGTGGCTTGCATGCTCGCTTCTGATTGAGTGCGCCGTTTGCACCGAGCGGCAATGTGTTTGGCAAAGTTAGCCACCAGTTAGATAGAGAGATCAGAAATGAGATGCGGGTGTGGCTCAAAATCAAAAGAGCTAGGGTTTTACAGGTCTTGGTCTCTGTTTCCATTTGCCAATTGGACATGTTGGGTGTTTTTTTTTTGAGCCACAGGCATGCTTCTCAGTTGCCAGTTGTAATTCCCGGACTTCTTGATAGCTGAAGTTAGCATCGGTAGCACTAAGAAAGCCTGGGGCAGAGATGGATGAGTTTCATTTGTGTTTTTTTTGCAAGCCCCGGTGGTGCTGGTTTTGCCACAGTGTGAAGGTGAAACCTGGCCAACGTACCCATCTTGTTACAAATCGTGCATCTTGCGTCAAGCTGAAAAGGCACGGCAAGCAGAGTCTGCCGACCAAGCACAATCTTGGTGGAAGCTAGTGCATAACCACGACACACAAAGCATGGCTGTTGAGGTTGAGAGGGGCCCGTTGTCGAGGTGATTGTGTTTTTTGTCGTGGTTCTTGTGCACGCCCGTTGTCGTGGTTACCCCGGAGTCTCAATATTGGTGTATCCGAGTTGAAGCATGGCTTTGTTCTCTGGCGGTTCTTTTGTCGCATCCCGGCGCCAGGAAATCCACCCTCATGGGCCACTTGCTTTGCCTTGTGGGCGAAGTATCGCCGGGGCCCGCAGCAATGCCAGACATGCGGCTGTGGCTCAAAAGCATGTACCTAAATAGGTTCCTTGGATAATGGAGCCGAACACTAAAACCTGCGTAAACCTCCGTTTCGCGCCCATGAGTGAAACTGCGAGGTCGAAACAGCTTCACAAGTTCGAGAAGGAGTCGAAGGAGCTGGGAAAGGCAGGCTGAAGGAGTTTCAGCGCGTCGCTTGCTGAAAGATCGGGTCTTGCCAGGCATCTTTCTTCTATGCCTGGGTGTTGGATGAAGGAGATGACGAACGCTCGCAGCTGCCTGAAGATACGCCATCCAGTTTCCCGGGCGGTGGTTTGATGAATAGGACCCTTTCAGGACGGGTTTGACATGGAAAGCATGGTAAGCATGCGTGTGTGTGTGTGATCCTTTGCGGATGGGTTTGACCAGGGACGCATGACATACCCCTCCTTGTACAGGGGTTCCATTCGTTCAATTCGCTTCAGGCGTGGCGTGACCATCGATGTGTGCGTGAAGCACTTCCGCACCAAGTCCAGGCCAGCGATTCTGGGGCCCGTCTTACGCGCAAGCTTCCCAAGAGAACCACCCTTCAAAAACCAAAAGGAAATAGCTGGTTGTGGGATCCACTGTATGTTGGCTCCATCTTAGCCAACAATTTCGACTGTGCAAAAGGCATGAACACCCGCACCTAGCTACTTCCATTTGCTTAAGATGTTTCTGTTATTTTCCCCTGTTGGTTATAAAGGGAATCTGTTACTACTGGACATATTTTCTCATTTTTTCCAGGGGTCCTCACCAAATGGAAGGCTACCACGTTTTTTTTTCCTCCGGGAGATGTCCGAAGGGCCGGTGAACAAAGCATGAACCTCAGTGGATCCCAGGCAAGCCACTACAGGTTCTTGGTGTTTTTGAAGGGCGGGGAACCCCTTTGGTGACCCCAAAAGAAGGAATTCAGCGGGGTTTCATTTTTTTAGAATCCAAGATGAACCAAATGAACGGGGTCCCATTTTTGGTTTGGTTCTTGGCGCCGGGGGACGCCAGGCAGTTCACCATTTTGGATGCCCCGGGGCACCGAGACTTCGTGCCCAACATGGTGCACGGGGCCGTCCAGGCGGATGGGATCAGATCACGCGGAAGTCACGACGCCCGGCATCGAGGAATCGGACGCCCCGTGTCGGATTTTTTTTTGGCCGAGCAAGTGGTCGTTGTTTTTTGGAGCCGACCCCGTTCTGAAGGTTTTGCACGACATCTCAAACCCAGTTCTGGGGGGAAAGTTCGGTTTTCTGAGGTTGCAAGTTTCAAACCTTTTTCGGTCGGTCTAACTTGCTTCGATAGGCAGGGATTGAAAAAGGGAATGCCCCCGAAGTAAACCATCCCCGAAAAAAAATGGCTTCTTTTTTTGTTCGGGAGTCCAAGCATCCAGGTCCGTTCGCAAAACCCGAGCGGGTCATTCCCTCTCGCACCAGCCAGCGATTTGTTTCAAGTCACAGGCGGACGTGGCCATCCTTGTGGTGGACGTGAGCCACTTCGAGGTGCGGGGCTAGGATTCGAAACCCTCCCCGGCGGTCAACGGTTTGGTCCTTTTGGTTCTGAGAAATTGAACGCCACCAAAAGGGTTGGTACCAACTCCAAGAGACAGCTTAAAACCGTTGGTACTGAGCCTCAAGAAACAGATACACCCAAATGGATGCGTGTCACAACTGTGCCGCTAAGACTCTGGGCAAGGCCGATGCTTCTACAGCAGCGTTTGAGGTGTCGCAAAGTTTCGGATGCAGGCGGGCTTCGATCGGGGCGGCCAGACGAAGGAGCACCTACAGCTGGTGAGGAGCTTATCCCGTGGCACACTTTCTTCTTTCTTCCACTTTTTGGTGGACAGGTGTCATTTTTCCCCTTGGCCACCAAAGTTCTGGGTGGCGCTTGGGGGATGGGGGAGCTTCTAGGTTTATATAATGAAGGACGCTTGGGGTCATAGGAGTCCTTTTTAAGTTAGTTTGGCTAGAAATAGATGGGTTCCACTGGTTTTAGACTGGTTTCATTTTGCGTTTACCAGGGATACCCATCTATTTTCCAAAAGGTCACCTATGTCTCGGGGTGCTTCACAGGGCGAGCCTTGGGGACGGTTTTGCAGTGGCCAATTACCACCTCCGTCCGCCCGGGCCGAGATCCGAGCTCTGGGCATCGCCAACGTCGTGGTGGCCGTGAACAAGTTGGACACGCCCACATCCTGGCGGTTGGAATGCCCATGACACGTCAATCATAGGTGTCCTTTTTGGTTGGTTTGCTTAAACAATAGAGGGGTTCCCCTGGTTTAGATGGGGTTTGTTCCATTTACCAGGGATACCCATCTATTTTTCCAAAAGGCCACCTATGATGTCGATGTGTCTTTTCTTTTAAGGGTTCGACCCCGCTTAACGGTTTCCTTTTTGGCTTCCCTTGAGAGCCACCAAGCAAAGGGTCCCTCCAGAGATAAGCCACCCCTGTCTGACCTATGAACACCCGCAGGGCTTGAAGCACGCCTCGGTCGGTGAACCGAGTCTCGCGGGTTTTTGCCGAGGTGTGCCTGGGATCAGAAGGCCGGGCCCGGATCTCCGCGTCGTGTGGCACGTCCGATGGACACCTCCAGGTCTTTGAGGAGACCAAGCGCCGGGTGCAGGATTACATGCTCGGCCCGGAGGTCGGCTACAAGGAATCCAGCCGCTCCAGCTGCAAGTTTCTTAGTGCGCCTTTTGGAGCCTTTGAGACAAGCGTGTCCGTTGTTTTAACGGACAAGCGAAAGGCTACCTGGATCCCTAAAAGTGCAAGATTCCAACTTAGACACGGGTTATTCTTGCAACCACAAAGTTTCTGGTTGGCGAACTTCCCCCTCTCCCTTTTTTTTTGAGGGGGGGGGGAAAACAAAACGAGTGTCCAAGTCAGAGCGCCGGACCCGCGTGAGGTGTGCAGTTCGTGCCGCTGAGCGGGTTTTCGGGTCCGGAGACCCGGAGCCGAGCTTCAGAGCGGGCAAGCCACGTCCTCTGGGGGGTTGGGGAGAATCCCCGCCGGAAAAGTGGTGCGGATATATCCGTCATTTTTGTTGCCAAGACGAAACAAATATAACGAATGCAAAAAAAGAAGAAAAATAAATCAATTCTCGGTCCTTTCAGGTTTTCCCTTGCATGGACTTGGGTAGAGAGGTGAACCACGATCAAAGCTCGAGTAATGGGAGGGTGGTAAGGGAAAATCCCCTTGCCATATTTGGGTGCAGCCGCCTTCTTAATTCTACATGGTAGACCACTTTAATGCCAGGTTTTGATTATGACTCATGTGGGGATTCATCACTTTGGAGGGGAACACCCCCATATCAATATACAGGGGTCTATGTATCCGGGGTCAACATCACCAGGTGTTGATCATGACTCAGGTGAGAATATGCTGGAGCGGAAGGATGCAAAACTCTCCTGGTGGACGGGTGGAACACTGCTGGAGGCACGAAAAAAGCAACCACGCCCTCTGGCCCGCGGCTGGATTTTTCGTGGACGTTTGGCTGACGAAGGTTGGTGGCTCCCAGCTATTGGGTTCCTTATAGCTTTTGAGCCTTCTAGTTGGTTGAGTGGTTGGATTTTTCCACTTAACCCATGACAAGCTCTCAACTTTTAGCAGGCATCTGAGGGAAATCGGCGATGCGGAGCGCTTGCCATGATTCAAAGGCGGAGACTGGCTCAGAGTACTGGGATCTGGGCATGTTTCAAGGGATCACTTGGTTGGTTCTATGGGAGGATAGATGTTGCCAAGTAGATTGGCCAACATGGTCAAACTCAAAACTTTCAAAGTGGTCGTGTTGGATTGGCAAAGAACATGACGCAACCTTGGCACACATTGGAAAAGAAACACATCCGGGCAATGTTGTAGACCAGCCCGGAGTGTGTTGTTTATTTGATTTCACCGCCTTTTTGACTCGCCCTGCATTGGAGTAGGGCTTGATTTCCCCAGCCCTTTCTAACCACCAGCCATTCCTTTTGGTGTTCAACATTTGTCCAGTTCCATTGAACTTCACAGCACCCTGTGGATCCATGTACCTTTAGGCAACCAAGGGCTTGGCTCCGGGTTCCACTTTTTAACCACAGACAGCGGAACCCTGGGCTTCCAACTGGCATGCTGTGGGGAAAAGGCTCGCCGTTTACGAGTCATGTCCACTTGTCAGGTACGAACCACTAGACGCCAAAGGTACCATCCACTATAGGAATTCGTAGCCAAGGGGATGGTCCCCCAAAGTGGGTTTCCCTTCCTGTTTTCCTTGACTTCCTAGGCAAACGGAGGTGGAACCCAGCGGCTTGCACCTGGGATCCATCAAAACTTCGCTGAGTTCTCAGGCGCTGGACCAGCTGCCTGCGCCGCCTCGGCCGCCCAGCACTTCACCCCTCAGGCGGACGCCAGCGAGTGAGACGGAGCCTGCGTTGAGCCAGCTTTCGGGGTGCGCGTGCGAGTGTGTTTCTCCCATCCCAGAGACAGGGGGAATTCACCCCAGAAGTTTTTTGTGCAACCATGGTGAACAAAGTGGGTGGGTCCTTTTTTCGAGGGTACCCTTCTTTGGATGGTTTAATGTTTGGTGGTGTCCCTATTTTAATATACACCCAAATGGGAAGATGAAGGCATTGGATATCAATTACTGGGTTCCTTTTGCCTTGAGTACATTTCACATCTCTCGCTGCAGGCTCTGCGTGTCGGACGTGTATAGATCTGGGGCGAGACTTGGACTGCGAGCTGATTGACTCACACGGTCAAGGATTTTACCGTATGGAGGGGAACACCGGCGTTTATTAACCTCAGGCTGCCCCAAAAATTGACAGGTTCTTAGGCTGCACAGTGACGCTCATTTGCCCAGGCTCGGTCGATAGGGTAAAGCAGAGATTGCTCAGCTTGCCATAGCTCTTGGTGCGGCCACCCTGATCACGGTGTTGACCCAGCTGCAACTCTGTGCATCGCCTGGCTGTGGAGGATTTCCAGGTCAGGATTTCCCAAAATAGGAGCCAGATCCAATGGTATGTGGTGTGTGTGTGTGTTTTTAGAGGACCCGCTCTGGTTTTCCTTTTGGTTTCCCTTGAACGCGAAACCAAACAGGGGGTACTTAAACTCGCCAACAAAAGCCCTTCGTCCATGCCGAGGAACACCTGCGTTTCAGGCAAGGTGCTCGCTGGCACACTGAATGTGGGCCAAAAGGCGGGTTCCAATCGGCGGTTTCTCTGTGCCGATGGCTTGGTGCAGGTCCAATCCCATAGGTCTGTCCTTTGGATCGGTTGTAGCTGGAAAATAGATGGCCCCCCAGTGAACATCCCAATCCAACCACTACAATAGGTTCTAAGATGGGTGGTGAATATTCACCTAGCCCAAAATGGGATCCCCTTGGTTTTGACAACCACAGCCAGATGGCCCCAGGGAACCCCTGGGAAGCCCAGCGATCTTTTTCAATTTGCCACCAATGGCAGAGCCACTTTTGCGGATGATCGGTGTGTTTCAACTTTCGGGAAGGGTGGATGCACTTCCGTTGGAGGGTAACTATACCTTTGCCTCAGCCCGTCCAAGGATACTGGAAGAAATGGGTGCGTCTTTCTTCAGAGGACCCCCCCCAAAATGGTGGCTTTCCTTTTGGTTTCCTCACAAAACCACACAAAAAGGGGTTCAAAAGAACATACACACCCAACAAACCAAGCGCAACAAGAAGACACGCCCAACAAACCCAGCTGATACGTGCCAAGGCGCTTTTTGTGGGTCTTTTGTTGCTCTCTCAATGCAGTGCTGCAGGTCCTCTTGCAGCCTTCCAATGAGCAGACCACGGCGCGGGTCCCAGCCGAATGGCCTCGTCAATGGCGTTTGATCTGAGGTCAAGGGCCTGATGCTGCGGGATGCGCCCACCCGCCCCGAGCAGAGTTGAGCCGGAGAGGAGAGTCAAATCGGAGGGTCGGTTGGGGTGGCAGTTGATTACCACCCAGTCCATCTCTCTGTTTTTTTTTCTCTCTCTCTCTCTCGCTCTCTCTGAGATTGTTGAACAAAATGTGGCTTGAACTGGAAAATGATGCCAGTTTGCCGGAGTTTGTAGATCTACAATGACCTCGCGCTGCAAGCCTGCGCTGCTTGCAGCCGATTGCCAAGGCTCGGCCAGGGCTGGAGATCATTTAGACACTGCGGTGGCCTCAGCTTTTTTGGCCCACCACAGCGACCTTCTCTCAGAGGGACGCGGCATGAGTGCCACTTCTGGGTGTGTGGGTTCAAAATGTGGGCACCAAAACTCGGGGTTGGTGTCTTTCGGGAAGCATGTGCCAGCCACTTCTCTCAAACAAGCAGAAGGCTTCTCCGGGTCCGGTCGGTCGGCGCAGCGGCGCGGAGGTCACGCTGCCAGTGGAGCCTCAGTTCGCCAGCGTGGGGGGCGTGCTCAGCGATCCCCGGCCAGGGCGCTCACGGGGCGCGCGGATGCGAGCGATGGGGCAGTTGAAACGATGCGACAGACCGCCAGGTGCGGCACTTGACGCGAGAAAGCTACCCAGAAAAATAAGAAAAAAACGAAAAAAACACGGGGAAGACGCCAGGCATAACTTTTGGGTTGGCAAGAAGCCATTTTCGAGTTGGAGGTTTGAGGGTGTAGGTGATATACCTAACTTTGCTTTCACGAGGGCACACTGCCTTTTTGCAAAGAAGCTTTCCAGGTGAGTGCCGTGCAAAGGGGACACAGCCATCTCAAAGCACTCGATGTGATGCGATGATCGTGCTCTGAGTTCTGAGTCTTTTCGGGAGTCTTTCGCAAGCTGCCATGGTTGTCGCTGGGACATATTTTACATTTTTGCTTATTGTGGTTTAGTGGTTGAAATCCCCACTGAACTGCTAAAATCTGATATATTTGTTCCTCTCCTTCCAACGTCAACGAAGCTGCGAGAATTGGCTTCAGTGTCAAGCCTCGAGCATTGAGGAGTGCGGTGCCATTGTCTGACACCCTCCAGGCGATGGCCAGAGAGAAGTGCGTGAGTGGACAGATTGCAGCAACGAACGCCTCGCATCCGGAAAAGGACGGGGCAGCCAAAGGAACAAGTAGGTATGGGTCCAAATTCGCACCAAGAATTGATCGGACCATTTCTACTTTCCCTTTTCCTCTTATTTCCCATTCTACTTGTCCAATCATGAGGAAATTATAAGTCCATTTCCATATTTTCAACCACTCCCTCTATTTCCTCTATCCATTCGACTTTTTTCAAGCAAACTTCTCCCTTCCCACCCACCGGGCTCCTGTGATTCCTGGCAGGTGCAGATCCTGGTCTTCGAGACCGAGGTTCCGCTGATGCGAGGCGCCGGGCCGCCTTTGCCATCTTCAAAACCGGGGAAATTTGGGTGTGTCGTTTTTTTTGGGGAATTTCCGCTTGCTTGGGTTTTAGAGGGGAAACATACCAACAGGAAAACCGCACCATTTTTTCGGGGGGTCTTTGAGCAGGCCCATTTACGTACTCTTGCGAAAGTCGTCTTTGGTATTCTTTCGCGATTGAATGAAAAAGTCTCGGGTCAGCGGGTTGGATGTGGGTTTAGTGCTCGGGCACCTCGGGCATGCGTTGGTTGGCCTCTTGTGCTTGTCAGGTGCACAACTGATGTGCTACCTGCACACCGAGACGCTCACAGCGACGTGCCTGGGCAGAGGGACCTTATGTGGGGTGTAGAGCCAGCTGCAGAGTGGCATCGGTATATGGCCATGGGTCATAATCCCTTCTCCCCCCAGTGAACATCCCAATCCAACCACTAAAATAACGCCTAAAATGGGTGGCAGTGGTGAATTCACCAATCCCAACCAGAATGGGATCCGAACCACAACGGTTTTGACCACCACAGCTCAGCACCTGCAGTCAGCTGGGTGTTGCCAGAGGCTTGTGCGGCTTGAAAAGCTCATCGTGAAGGGTGAGCCTCAGGAGAGGAGGCGCGGAAATCTTCTGCAGCTCTTGCTCCCTGGAAGCGTAAGCCAACCTTCCTACCCCTAAACCGACCCTAAACCAACCCCAAACCAACCCCAAAGCAGCCCTAAACCCTCTAAACCAACCCCAACCAACCTAAACCCAGCCTAAACCCACCCCAACCCCTCCCTAAACTACCCTAAACCCACCCTAAACTCAACCCTAAACCCACCCTTACAAAATCCTGAGCTCACCCCAAGCCGACCTTGAACCAACTCCAGGCGGGTAAAGCTCCAACGTGGACTGTCCGCCACTTGGGCCCGCGAGGCCGAAATGCCTGGTGAAGGGCAACAACGCCATCGTTTGGCTGCAGCTCAACGAGAAGGCGGCAGGGGGGGGGGGGGGGGATCGGTAGGTGAAGCTGCGGTCGGCGCCTGGCTGATCTGAAATCCCGTGCGGCCACCCCAAAATGGCACGACGGGGTTTGTCTTGGATTCCCTTTAAAACCACCAACAAAGGGGTGTACCCTCAAAGAAAGGGAACCAATTGTGCGGCCCAGCCCGTTCTTCACCCGCAGGTCTATCACCGGATGTCTTCACTTTTTGAACAAAGAAGCTGGCGAAGGTTTCAGGACAAACAACGACCCGCCAACAGACCAGCCCCTGAATGATTTGCGAATATTTGCGACTAAACTGAATGATGGGTAGAAGATGAAACCTCCCAAAACACGACGACTACAGGATGAGCCGTAGAAATATTTATCCCACTCTGACAAACAAGAGCACACGCCATGAACACCTGCAACCTGCCTGATTTGGCTATGAATTTGATGGGGAACCACTTCACAAGTGGTGTAATTCATCCCCACCGAATTTTGATGTCCATACTGCCCATCTTCATCATGTCTTTGAAAGTCCTTTCGCTTTCAGCATCGTCCAAGGGCTTCGCTCCACTTTGGCCACGGCAACCCTGCTGGGCCCAACAGAGACCATTCATCAAGTCATTTCCAGTACCTCCACAATCATTCAATGATACAATTAATGCTGAATGATGAGAAAGACGGGGTTGAAGCTGTTTTGGAGAGGAACGAAATGGACACTACTCATCTTGAGGGAATAGAAGTTGCGAGCACCCAATCTTCCCCATGGGCAAACCTTCGTCATTTTGTCCAGGAGGATTCATATTATGGCCATGAATGTGAACCGGTCCTCACACCCAGAATCGCTCTAAAAAGTCCACCATAAGGTTCGGGTTCTCAATCAAATGTCAGGCTGAAACAACATTGCTTGAGTTTATCTTGAAACAGCTGATTCTGAATGCAAAGATCAGAATCACACCAGCTGACAATGAATCAAACTTCTCGTTTGCTGACTTCGACTCAACTTGGACACAGAACCAGAGAGTTGCCAAAAGCAACCGTGGAGCCAACCACAGAACCAAGTGGCTGTGGGTCAAGGCCAATGGGATCCCTATTTTGGGGTAGGTGAATTCACCAATTTTAGAACCTATTTTAGTGGTTGGATTGAATCGGATGTCCACTGGGGGTGCGGGCTTTGGCTTTTGACCCATGGCCCCCTCCAGTGATAACTCCCCACCAGGGACCCCCAGATAAATAAACCCCTTGACCCGAGTCCAACAGCTCGGACTGCACAGTCCAAGTCTCGCCCCCGGATCCGAATCACCGAACTGCCTCAAGCCGAACCGCGTCAGGTGTGCGTGGAGCCCAAGCCGAAGCCCCCCGGCGTGGCCACGCCGCAGCTCGGCTGGATGTGGTCGCCGTGTGGAAGCAGCGGGTGGTGCAACGGTGACACAAGGCACGCAAGGCACGTTGCAACCCTGTTTTACTGGGAAACCAGCTTCATTTTGAGGGTAGCAACCCTGTGTTTGGTTTTAAAAGGGAAAACCACCGGGAAAGCTATAGACCACCATTTGCAGGGTACCACCCCTTGAGCATGTTGGGTTTCGAAATAGGGAACCCAGGAAAATGGGTGGGTGTCCCTTTGTTTCCCTTTAAAACAGACTATAGGCACCCTTTCACGGCATTCGCCACCTGTTGCCTGTTGCTGCTGCTAGTCCAGTCTATGGGCAGGAGAGGGTTCCAAAGTTTTTTCCCTCGAAGCCTTGGTGTCGCGCATTCTCACCTTGCATGGACATGACCCTATCTTTGGTTGGTTTTTGAGGGCAGCCAAGAGCAAACCACAAAAAATGGAAAGGAACCCCTATGTTGACACATTCCCACATGTTCCTTGTTTGTTCAGGCTTCAGTGCTTTGGTTCACAGTTTAGATGATGTTCAGATTTATTTTTGGAGGTTCAGAGATGCCCGAAGCCGCGGAAAACGCAATGCTAAATGTTCGCTCCTTGCGTGACAAAACGGAAACAGGTGAACTGGCGTATGTGTGATTTTCCATGTGAAGGAAAGCTCCACGTGAGACGGTTCCCATTGGAGGGACCAGCCCCTATGACCGGAGGTTTGAGAAGAGCGGTGTGTTGAGAGCAAATCTTGATATTTCCTTCAGACTTTCCCGCATGATTTATACAACAGCCATTGGCGGATGCTTCTGGTCAGAGCAACTGGTCGGCTTCAGTTGTCCTATTTGCTATAGCTTTCACAGGGCTTCTTAAAAGATACATTTTGCCCATTTGAAACATGGCTTTTTCCACCAAACTAAAGGGACACCACCATTTACAAGTTGCAATGTTCAGGTGTATAATGCATCCGGATCCCTGTTTCAGCGCGTTGACACTTTTGGCAGATTGTGGTGGGTAGTTATGTGAGTTGTTCCTGTGCTTGGCGGCTGCTGGCCCCTTGAGGAGGGTAGGACGGCGGATTTCTCTCTAGCCACTTGGAATCTGAGAGTTGTATGAACAGCTTCATCAACCTCACGATCCCTAATATATGTTGATTGAATCATTTTGAAGGCACTAACTATCCAAGCTCCAAAGTATTTGTCTGAACTTTTATGATGTTGCATTGAGCCATCTATCCAAAAGCAAACAAACTCAAGCTCATACCCAACATATTGAGAGTAGCTGGAGTTGCTTGTGTGTTTTGTGCTGGGCGCAAGCTTTTGAGGCGCCCAATGGGAGTGCCGCCGCCTAAAGGGTCTCACGTTACGACCTGCCAACGGAGGTTTGGGGCGTGTTTGAAAAGCCAATGGAAAGAGGTGCCCAATAGCTTCCCGTGAACATATGCCCATCAGCAGCTTCTAGAGCTGGTCTAATTATAAATTCGTTATAAGTAGTTAGTTAGTCAACTACTTAAGCACAACATGAGCAAATGTATCCATGAATGAAACATATATAACATATATATATATATATATATATATATACATGTTTACCCCTGGTGTCGACCCTGTGGTTAAGAGACTGCGCCATGGCCAAAAGCTCATACTTGCCCTTGTCGAGGCTCAGCCGCTTTGTGCTGCGCGACCGCGGCCGCACAGTTCCTTGGCATGTGGCAACTTGGAAGGGTCTTGCCGTTGCGAGCGGCAACCCCTGAGCTTTTGCCACGTTTCTCCATTCTTCTAGGGCTCTTGGGGCCGGACCCTCAAAGGCCGCGCACTTAGTTGCACTGAGCGAGTCGCAAAGAATCTTTCTATAAATCCACCTAGCACCCTGGGGAAATGCCTTTTTTTTTAAAGAAGGATGACTGAAAAGAATGGGGGAATCAACCCCTAGATGTGTGGCCTCAAGCATTGGGTTTGTCTCCAAGGAATCGGAGGAGGAGTTATCCTTTGGTTCCCTTTTGAGACCATGTAAGACCACTCCAAAAAGGGGAGCCTCGAAAACGACCCCGCCAAGTGGCTTGTATTTGATTCCCCGTCACAACAGAATTGACGACAGGTGCACCTGTTGAACTGTCGCAGGTGGGTGCGGGAGTTGTCCTGGCTGTGCAGTAGACCGTGGCTCAGCGACTTGGACTTTGGGTTTTGTGAGCGGCAGAAGTCCTGGAGAAGTGCTCGGTGATTTTTTAACGGTCAATGCTACTCTACGATCCGGCGACCGGGCTTTGCGGTTTGGATTTTACCAGCCTTAAGGCTCAACATGTGTTTTCCCCAACTGGCAAACCGTGATTTCCATGTTTTGGCAAGCAGCCAAGAAACCCGCGGCTCAGGTGGCTGCCTCTTGACTGTGCGAGCGAAAAAAGGAAAAAATGCGGTGGCTGCATACCGGGTGGCCTTGATAGTAGCGTGGTCCGTTGTCCTGGGAGTTGAGTGTAAAATCCAGACCAAGCTTGGATATTTGGCCATGGTTCCATTTTGGTGTGGATGAACATCCATTTGCCACCGATTCTGATGTTCACCAGGGGTACAGGGTTTTGACCCACAGCCATTTGCCCTTCAACTCCCTTGGTACACAGCTTGCGTAGCGTTGAGATTCTGTCTCGCTGGACCCTAAGGGCACAACAAAGTGGAATTCCATTTCAGAGATGGACCGGCTTCCCGGTGAGGTCTTCATGCGGACTGTTTGCCTACCAAACATGGGCTTTTGCAGACACCAACTTTATGGTTGGCTGAGTGAAATCGGCGGGGATCCATTTGGAATTCTGCGCGCTTGCCACTTCCTACTGAAGCGCCCCCCTCCATTGCAAGTCGCCAGGGCCCCGCACCGCGAGGTGGGCGTGGTCTGAAATCGAGCGTTGTGTTCAAAGACTGGCATTGGTCGAATGGGGTGTTTTTTGTTTTTTGTTTTTTTTTCTTCATGGGACTCCGATGTCCACATCGGAACGAAGATGAACATCATGATGTGGTGATTGGATGTTTGGTAGTTTGGAGGCGTTCCGGGTGTGATTTCCCATAATCCAAACCACCAAAGGGTGCTTGAGCTGAAGAATTCCAGGAGAATCTCTGTTGAGGGAGAGTCCATCTCCAGAGTCTTTGGGGGAAACTGCAGGTTGGTTTTGCAAGGGAAACCGTCAAGGAAGGGTTTTCCTTGGCAGTCACTGCGCAATATTGAGACGTCCCGACCACAAGTGGGTGCCGCCTTGAAAGTTCCTTACGTAGTTCTGTGTCCATCTAAAACTTCCGATCGGTTTCGATGAGCCTCGGGATTCGGATCCATTTCTTCCCCGCGGCAAATCCGCACCCAGGCAGCTTTCGTTGAGCAGCACTTCGCCAACGGCGACATCACGGTGGCCTGGCGAGGTTTGGAAGCGGGGGGAATCTCTTTTGCTTGGTGTTGAAGGGGAAACCAAATGGAATCTGTGGCCCTTTTGGGGTTCCCCCAGAAGACAAACTCCCACGTCAGATTGTAGGGACTCTCCTTAAATGGCGGATTGGAAGATTCTCTTCCAACACCAGGTTGCATGATGGTTCCCTTGAACCCCACAAGGTCTCCAAAGCTTGGGTTTGCAAGCCGCAATTAAAGGTTTGCCCTAATTGAAACCTGCTGGGTCACCTGGAACAGGCGCTTCGACATTCGACAGGTCCGAGGCCAATGCTTGAACATGGCCGTGTGGGCCATTTTGTGTAACCCCAAGCAACCGAACCTTGAGAACAGACCTGGCAAAAAGGTGGGGGGTTTCTTCCATTGCTTCAGGTGGCGCGTCTTTTTGGGAGAACCATCCCGTTTTTGTTGCGGCGTGTTCGCCAAAAGCAGCGCCACCAGGTTTTGGGGCAAACCCAAACCTAAGACAAACCCACCGGGTTGCCCAAGGCGCGCATTCGTCGGAACCGCCGAAAGGGTTCAGCGCGGCCTGAGGCAATGGCTGCAGACTTCCTGAGCAAGCACCAGTCGTCCCGAGCCGGCTCCTCAGGCGAATTTCCCGCCACGAGGGACGCTAGACGCAGCTGTTTTCAGACAGGTCCCTATGCACAGGCCCTAAATTCTGGGTGGAGGGCGCCATTGTTTGTTTTGGCTGGTTTTGGTGGAAAATAGATGCCTCGTTTCAGAATCTACCAGGGCCATCTACTTTTCCATTTGGAATTTGTGCGACTGCCAGCGCCTGTCATACGGCGTTCCTAGGCCGCTGACAGCGCTCCGTGACCCTGAAATTCCAAGGGGGTGCTGTCGAATCCGTGCGTTAGGCGCTGTGGTTGCCGTTGTTGGCCATTTGAACCGCCGCCGTTGCAGGGATAAAGATTTTGGCAAACCCCCCCCCTTTCAAGAGCTCAGCGCCGCTCGAGGCAAGAGCTGTGGACATGTGTGTTCTTGAAGCCGCAATGCTCAACCGATGTTGAGAACTGGTCTCCAGAAGCTGGCATGTGAAAAGAACACGCTGCTCATGAATGCTCGAGTCTTTACTGAGAATCCTCGGGTCTTTACTGAAAATTTGCAATTTGGCGGGGTGGGCTTGGGCAAGGGGGGGCGGGGGTTGGGATCCTTTGAGAATTGTATATATATATATATATGAGCGACTGCAATTAGTTACAGCAGGGATTAGGTGCAAAACGACGTAGGAACACCCCCAAAACAAGGAAGGGCCGTGACGTTGAGATCACCAGCGCATGCGGCGTTGGAATACGATATCAGTGGGTCCGAACGGGTGCAGGGTTGGAGAAGGAGGCATTCAACCATGTAGCAAATAAGTGTATATATATATATATATTTACATACCCTATATTTATATAGATAATCCATACATGTTATGCACATTGTTTTAGCCCTTTTCGTTTTCGCGGGGGGAACCCATCCCGGATTTCAAACCGAATTTGGGGGCAATCCATCTGCCAGGTACGTGGATGCTATGGGCAATCCCTTGCCTCCCATCCGGAAGCTGGACGACCTGCCGAACATCAAGGCGACCCCAAAAGCCGCGTCATAGCCATGGAACGCGCCCAACCAAATGGGCCAATGGGTGTGTCTTTTCTAGGGGACCCCCAAAAAGGGTTCAACGGTTTTGCGTTTGTTTTCTGTTTATAGCCACAACCAAAAGGATACCAGCTCGAAGAAAGACAAGAAGATCTGCAGCTCGCCATGGAGCTGAAGAAATGGCGTGCTTTTTTGGTCACAACCGTGGATGAAGGGGCACCTGTCTTTTGAGGACTTGGACAAAAGGGAATCAACTGGGTGTGGCTCACAATCGAAGAGATGGAATTGGAAGTTTAGTCTTTGGTTCCATGTACCAAGGTTCCATTGTGGTACATTTGGTGAGCCGCCGCCACATCAACTGCCGTTTTCCTCGGAGAAAAGGGTGTCTTGCGCCCGGAATCATTCCAATTGCCCCCCCTTGCTTGTGCTTCTTGTGCTTGATATGCTGCTCATGCCCTGAGATCAAGCCATCATGCACAGAATGGTCTGTTTCTGGACTGCACGAGTTGGCAGGTGTTGCCATTTTTCAATCCAAGCTGTGAACTCTTTAAGGGTTTCACTCAGGTTTCAGCTCACGCTATTCGACAAGCCCGACAACATCAAGTCTTCCATAGTCTCCCTAAACGAAATCAACCGGTCAATTCTGAATACACCCACTGGGTATTGACCCCATTGAGGCACATTTCCGGATAAAACTGTGTTATTTGGAACCATTCTGGGTCATTGCCCAAGGGTGTAATCCCAGGGTAGGAAGTGAACACGTTTTTCAAAGCCCAGCTGACGGGCGCTTAGTGTTGACCCAGGATTAATAAACCCCTGGTTGATTAATAGGGGGGTGTTCCCTCCCTTCAATGGATTTGTGTGCCAGCACGTGCCAGCATTTGACTGGAGCGCGGAATGCAGGACCCAGCCAAGCCAGTGGAGGATGAAGGCTGGGGCTGTGGTGAAGGTTCCAAAGTGTCTGAGTTTTCGGGGGGCCGGAAATACTTCCGTTTGTTGAAACGATTATTTTTTGTCTCCCTTGTTGGTGGTAAAGGGAATCTATCACTACTTTTTTTCGGGGGTCTTAACCAAATGGAAGAATAGATTCCTGCTCATAGTGGGACCCATTTCGGTTCGAAGGATGCGCTGTTAAAAGCGGCACCCCACAAAACGTGCACAATTTGGTCGACCCGACCACCTGAGATCGTTTGGCAAGCATCTCAAAGGGTGGATTGTGAGAGGGGCCTACCTAGAGCCGCAGTCTTCTAATCAACCCTACCTTCAGACCGTTTTTTCCTGCTTCTCTTTTCTCTTCTGCTGTTTTCCGTGTTTTGCTTTTAGGAACAACACACCAACTTCTCAGCAGTTCTCCTCGTCTGGCCAGGGCCAATCTCTGGCACCAGCGCTTTGGTCCAGGTGGGACTTCCGCCGCTCGCGAGAATTCCGTCGCGCGGAATTTCATGGGTCCCGTGGTCTCCAAATGGGTCAAAAGCCAAATCGGTTAGCCCCCAGTGAACATCAACCAATCCAACCACTAAAATAGAGTGACTAAAATGGGTGGTGAATTCACCTACCCCAAAATAGGATCCCATTGGTTTTGTCGTACGATCCTGCCCTTGGATTTCTGGGGGTTCCCCGCGCCGACGACAGCGGATCGTCAGGTCGAGGACGTGCGGCCGGTCGCTCGTGAGGAGAGCTGACTTGGCACTTAGCCATTCAAAGCAGCGCCTCATTTTCAAGCAGGGTCTTGAGTCATGTGATGTTCGTTAATGTTAAAAACAGGGCAACCAGTCCCAGTGATTCCAGTTTTGCCTTTGCCCTTCCGCTCCCATGAAGGGACTGTAAAGCCAGCTCAATTAAATGCCAAGGGGCTGGCCATTCGTGGGGGGTACTTGAGGTCCGGCTCCGGTTGGGTTGTTATGCTGGGGTTGTTCTTCATATTCCTCAGGGAAACCAACTAGCAGACAGGGGGAACCAGGGATACGGGAGGATTCCCCCTAAATGCACCTCTAAGATTGGTATGGGAAATGGCGCCAAGGGAATCCGCCCATATGCCCGCTCCCTCCGTATCCCCGCTTGTTCGTTTGTCCAAATTCAAACAGATCTCACCCGTGCATTTTGAGCCTAGAGCGGACACAAGACAGGAGCCGGCGGATCGACGAGAGGCTCCCGCCTACAGCCTGGAGGGGCAGGGCGATACATATAGAAGGCTTTAAGATAGGATGTTGTTTTCCTTCCTGTTTGGTGTGTTTAGTTTGTGTGTTCAGTGCTGTTCTCTCTTGCGTTTGTTTGCTTGCTTGCCTTGATGAATCTCTCCCCCAAATAACAAAGCCCGCCCCAATCCCTCTTTTGATCATCATGTTTCCCGAGAAAACAACACATGGGTGTGTCTTTTTTAGGTTCGACCCCCGAAACATATGAAACATGGCGCAACGGTGTTTGTTTTGGTTTCCCTATAAATCCAACCAAAAAGGGGCTCCCCCCCAAAAAAAGGAAGAAGAGAGAGAACGAAACAAGGCAAACACATGACGCCCACATATCCACATATCCCAATAGGGTCATTGAGAATTGCGCTGCCTGGGTGGCTTGAGCACAGCATTTATGCCTGAGAGCTATCAGACATCAAATTTTGCTCATGGTTTTGGCTGTGGACCCGATCGCATCTGCACGTGGTTTCTGCGCCCAAGGTCGTGACTCACGAAAGAGCCCGACCCTCGGATGCCTGGCTGCCTCACAGTGCCATTCCTTGGGTGCATTTTCTTGGATGTTAGGACTTTATTTTTTTGCCAACTAATGGGTTTTCCATTAAGCAACCGAGATTCGACTGTATTCTGCTGGCAGCTCAAGGGCAGCTTCTGGAGAGCCGGTAGAGAAAAGGGCGCTGACAGGAGCATGGCAGCGTTGAGGCTTAAAGGGGAGGTTTGCAAACGCTCTGATCGTAGTGAGAACAGAACTGACCAAGCACCAAGCATTGTTGGTTTGAAGAGCGCTTGGAGACCATACCGTGAAGATGAGCTGCTAGAATAATGGTGACCCTCCGGTGGAAAGACAACGCCTCCCGCTATGGTACGATGGCACGAAGATTTGGAAGCAGACTCCATTGGGACAGGAGCATGTCAAAATTATAGCGAGATCTGTGATGCTCCAAATGCTCCTTGGCACCGCGACGAGCCACAGTGTCTCTACAGGTGCTATGTGCCCCAGGACGAAGACGGCCCAGTAGAGCTTCGCGCAACATGGAAGTACCCAATTCCGAATAATGACGGCTGGATCGATCCTGGCCTCCCACAGACAGCACTGGGCAAATTATTTTCCTGGACCCTCAAACTACCCATTAGCCAGGAATTCATCCCATAATGTTGGCAAGAGCCCATTTTGAGGTTCCAGGTAGAGTGAAGTGGGCCATGGGTTTCATGACTTGGGAGCCTTTTGTGCCAAGCAGACGACTGCTGGCTGGCCCTGCTCAGTTCCCCTTCAAAGACCATGTCGCTGTCAGCCAAGAGAGTTCTTCTGATCGCCAGCGAGAAACTGGAAGAGTTCCGGCTGTCATAGTCGATGGAGCTCTGGGGCCAGAGACTTACCCCCATAGGTGTCCTTAGGTCAGTTTGATAAAAATAGAAGGCACTGGTTCAGATGGGTTTGATTCCATTTGATTCCACTTACCAGGGATACCCATCTATAATCCCAAAAGGACACCTATGCTCACCCCCACTTTCTTGGGTGCTCCTGGGTAATGAGGGGTTGTCCAAGGGCCTTGGAGAGTGGGCCAAGCTGACCCAGCTTGGTGGCTGCACGGACACAGCAACTAGCTCCGCGCACGTTGGGGCCCGTGAGGCGTCCAAGTCGATGGCGAGAACAACCACACGGCTGAGGGCTACGTTTTTTGTTTTTGCTACGATGGCAAAAGAGTGGCCACACGCACAGCTGTTTTGAACATGAATAGTATGAATAGTATAGAGACGGCACCGGCAGGGATTTGATTCACCCCGTCGATGTTTTTTGGGACCAATTTCTGGGGGCTGTAGGAGTGCTTGTGCATAATGTCACAAGGCTTCTCGTCTTCATCGGGGGCCATTTGTGTTCGCATGAGGTCATTGGATGACCTCATCACAAATGGCCCTGCGACGTGGACGAGACGCCTTGCGACGCATGCGCAAGCACTCCTACAACCTCTAGAAGGCGGAGGTTGATGGCTCGGAACCCTGGGAGAAGCGTGGAATTGGCCCATGTGAGCGGGCGGTGTGAGAAGGCACAGCCCAGAATTGCCGCGATTTTGGGTGACTTGCAGCTGGAAGGCGTCTTGATGGACTTTGAAGATCGGCGCATCATGGGAACTGGAAGCCGCCCAGAGGCGGAGGGCCAGTGGCCTGGTCTGCCAGCTTCTTTGGCCATTTGGTGCTAAAGCAGGGTGCTGTAGCTCATAGCTCATATTTCAAAGGGCGGAATGTCGGCCTTTGCCAATTTTTGTTATTGGCGCTTTGCGGAGCGTAACCCCCGCAGCTCTGCTCTTAGAGGGCTGGAAGCAGTTCACAAGTTCGCTGCAAAAGGCGACGAGAGTGCGGGCGGCTGTGCTCACCCAGCTTCATGAAACGGTTTGGAGGTCGAGAAAAGAACCCTAATCCCACTATTTGGTTGTTGGGGGTGGTCATCAACGGTGCTGCAAGGATCCTTCGTAACCGTTATAAGGGTTCGCACCCAGGGAATTATAACCATAGGCCATATGTTTTTTTCAAGTTCTGACCATGGCACACATGACGACGTGTTGCCCCCAAGCATGCAGGAACAAATTGCCACAGGAACCAATCGCTCAAAAGCGCTTTGGTGGAGCCAGGCACAAACTTCCTCGCGGACAAGTGAACGGCAGGCGAGAGCTCTCGCCGCAAACGAGCGCCGGCTGAAATTCGAGCACTCTGAGCAAGGGACGCCGTGGCAACGGGTGATAATCTTAAAGGTTCATCAAAGGTACCCAACTCAAGCAAAAGCGTGTTTTAGGCTTTCCACAGAATCATCCCTTTCGGATGGTTTTGAGAGGGAGATGAAAGTAAAAAACAAATCCCACGTGGCATGTGTTTGGACACACCCAGGTTTCGAAAGAGCTTTCTTCAACGACCCATTGCCCCGTGGAAGTGCGTTTTCCGTTCAGGGCTCCACCGCTTCCAGCGGCAAGCTAGGCAAGGCCGCGGGGGGGCGGCTTTCGCGCGCGGCTTTCGGAAGTCCCAAGGAATCGGAATCGGCAGGGGACGACCCCCAGAAAACCCAGAACCCATCCGGAAAGTTTCCGATGGCCACGCTGCGTTTTTTTCAGGAGAAGCAGGCCGGGATGGCAGCAGAACGCCGTTTTCCAAGACGCGATCGCCACACCCAGCCCAGGCGAAAGCAAGAGCTCCAAGCTTAGAGAACGGCCGGAGCGGGAGCGGCCGGAGCGGCCAGAGCGGGCCTGCTCCTGAGACAAAATCAAAATGCTTACCAAGGATGGTTTTGCTTATGGATGGCGCGTTTCGATCGGCTGAATCTGCGTCCGCGGCTTAGGAGTCGCCAGACCGCAAGGGCAGCCGGCGGCGACCTAGCGAAGAGGCCCTGTCCGGAGTTCCTTACGGGTTTGTCAGGAATTGGAACACCTGGTTGGTTTCCTTCTGGCCTTCCATAGAAAAAACCACCCCCAAAAGGATACGGGGCACGAGCCGAGCGCTCGGGCTCGGGGTGCAAGCCTGACGAGGCCGCGCCAAGCGCCCACCTGCCGCCGGAAGTGGCGGAGGAGCTGCAGGCCAGGAACTTAGGCACCATGTGAACTAGGTCCCCCAGCTTGGTGCCAACTTTTGCCGTTTCTTTTTAGGGGAGGGTTCCCCTACTAGACTACAGAACAAAGTTGGTACCCTTCTTCTAACCTCTCTACTGGAGGACCCCGGATGAAGCAGAACCGCGGGTGGATTCTGATCGGGGTGTCCAATTCCTTTTAGTGGGGATTCAGACCACTTTTGGAGGGAACACCCCCCCTAAGAACGGGTTTATTAATCCTGGGTCAACATTAAGTGCCCGTCAGCCGGGCTCTAAAACAATTGTCACCACCCTGGGATTACACACCCAGAATGGTTCAAATAAAATAACGCGGTTTTAGCCGGAAATGCGCCTTAAATGAGGTCGGTGTATTCCCGGGTTGTAATACAAAAACCCTTAGCGGTTTGGACCATAGTGGTAAGCAAAAGTGTAAACGCTTTTTGGCCAATCCACTGTGACAAGTGCATTTGGTTCTCAGGTTTAGTCCTGGGTTTGCTTTTGGTAGTCTTTTGAGGGAATTGCTGTACTAGGGTGTGGCTAACGGACTCAGACTGCAGAGTTGCTTCTTGGTTTCTGCTACGGGTTGGAGGGTACCCTATCTTGGAGCCCACTTGTTGGGGGCGGTTTCCCTGTAACCCACTGGGACTTAGGCATGGGAAACGGTGTCGACCCCTATTCCTCCACTTTGGTGGGGTGTTGTTGTGTAAAATTTTAGTGGGGAGTTTTGTTCAACCTTATACTAATACATGATCTGGGAGTTGATTTGTGTTGGTTGCTGATTGGGCAAACGGGGTCCATGGAGCGAGCAAGCAGCAAGTGACAGCTTGCCGCTGGTCTTCCTGCTTTGGGGGAACATCTATATCTTGTCTGCGACGCTGATGATCAGTGGCATGTGCGCAAATGTGTCTTGAGGTTTGCTGCGCGTGTGCTGCTCGACTGCCCTGCCCTGCCCTGCCCTGCCCTGCCCTGCCCTGCCCTGCCCTGCCCTGCCCTGCCCTGTGTTTGTGTCTGGCGTTGTCTCTGTTTGTCTCTGTTTGTCTCTGTTGTCTCTGTCGCCGCGTCCGTCCGTCCGTCCGCCCGCCCGCCCCCCCCCCCCCGCCCGCCGCCCGCCCGCCCTGCCTGCCTGCCTGTCTGTCTGTCTGTCTGTCTGTCTGTCTGCCTGCCTGCCTGCCTGCCTGCCTGCCTGCCTGCCTGTCTGTCTGTCTGTCTGTCTGTCTGTCTGTCTGTCTGTCTGTCTGTCTGTCTGTCTGTCTGTCTGTCTGTCTGTCTGTCTCTCTGTGTGTGTGTGTGTGTGTTTGCGCTTGTCTCTTTGTCTGTATGTTGTTTGTTGTGTGATTTTGCGTTGCTTTTTTTTCCAGGCGTGTTTTTGGTTGCTTTTCCCGTTGCTTGTTTGCTTGATTGCTTGCTTGCTTGCTTGCTCGCATCCTTGCTCGCATCCTTGCTTCTTTCCTTGTTTGGTTTCTTTGTGTTTGGTTTGCTTGCTCCAAACCACGTTACTTTTCGAGGGAAACCGAGCTACCATCACAACTCTCCCAATCGCTTAGGCAGAGCTGGACGAATGCCTTGACACCATCAAGCCGGGACCCGACGGAAATCTTCCTTGCCATGGGACCCCCCGTGCATTGGGGTGTTTGCATAGCCATGCTCAACACATGTCTAATGTTTGGGCCGACACCTTTTCTCATGAAAATGAGGTATCTGCAGTATCACTTGTTTGCCCCATGTTTGTGCATGCCCAGTACGTTTGGCTGACACGTTGCAATGGTTTCAGCGGAGATTCCTTAAAATGTTTGGAAGAGGTTTGGGCTCGAGTGCTATGCCCGAGAATCGCGAATAGGCTCGGGCCGAATTGAGTCTAACGTGGCCCTCGAAAAAGAGACTTCATTAGAGGCAAGCATGTGGGCATGGCTCAAAGTTCAAGAACTGGGGTTACGCGGGTTGTAGTCTTTGGTTTACCAAGGTGCCAATATGGTAGCACTTGTTTTTTTTTGTCACAGCCAAATAATCGGAGGGCATTGGCCGCACTCGTGGCAAACTGTGCGCACCGCAGCTCTCAGCTCTCGCAGCATGGGGTCTCTGCCATGGACGAACGAGGCGCGACTCAAGTTTGTGGGGTACAGCGCCAGGGACTGCGGCGGGAATATGATTTGGGTAACATGCAGAGTTTGGTTCAAAACGAAGGACCACCCCGAAAATGAGGTAGGGCCATGACATGTTGGTGAGGTGAATGAGAAAAAGGTGCAGGCTTGGAGAACGCGGTGCGAACACTCAACAACTCAACCATATCCTGCACCCTCGAACTCCCCATACAAACAGGGGAATTCACCGCATCTTTTTAGGGGGCAATAAATAGCCCATTCTCAAGTTGGACTTTTGAGGGTCCAAGCGAATGTCTGCCGGGCAGGCGTTCAACGCGGTGAACATGGTACCCAATGCCTTGAACATGGCACTGAATTTGCATAAGAAGGTGGAGACTCCATCGCAGGCGCTGGCAGAAAGTGTTTGTTCCTTCCAGAGAAACCTCACTTCCTGAGTTCATGAACTTTAAGCTTTTTGGGAAGACCATTTTGGTGGTAGATATAGAGTGTGGACTTTTTTTGGGTCTTTTGTCTTTTGCAACTCGAGAGTTGTCCGCAGTTTTCCCCCATGACCGTCAGGGGTCCATGTCAGTCTTCTCTTTTTGGGCCTGCGAAAGTTGCAAGTTGGTGGGGGAGGAGCCCCACGAGTCATTTGCGACAAAAGCTTCCAAGGCACCAAAAAGGCGCAGGACCGGGCCCTGCGCCGAGGTTGCAACTGTCAGCCTGCAGGGCCTTCGAAGAGCAGAGCCTTGGTGAAGAGTCCGGTTTCAGACCGGACAGTGAGTCCCTCCATTTCCGGTTTGTTGGACCCTCAGGCCCTAAGTGGCGATTTGGTGGGACGCCACAAGTCACTTGCAACTTTGTGGCGGCATCCGAACCCCGAGCTCTCGACTCGTGTGGCTCCAAAGTGCAAGCCGAGGACCCCAACAACGCGAGGGCGCTGCTCGAGTCGTTGAGGGCTCATGGCTTTGCCTGGCTCAACTTTGAGGCGTCGGCAATTTTTTGGGCTTTGGGTTGGGTGTGGGTGGGGGGTGGGTGTATGTGGTGTGTGTGTGTGGTGTGTGTGTGTGGTGTGTGTGTGTGTGTGGGTTTGTGGGGCGGTTTTGGGGGGGGGGGGTGGGGGGTTCGAACCACTGCCTCCAACTGACAGCCACCCTCAAAAGAAACTGCATCCAAGTGCCATGCTGATGGTGGCCGAAAGAATTCCCTTGTCGGGTTGTTGGTTGGAGGGTCCAAGTTTTTGCATTGGAGCATAAACCTGATTATTGAATACGTACACAGTGCTTATATTTGCAGCCAGCCTCCAAACCCAACTATCAAATCGCGAACCGGCACGTGCCACGTGACTCAAATTGGAAACTCGGACATTGCATTGTGTTTCAATGCAACTACTTTCTTCTTGCGAGAGACGTTTCTTGCAGAGACATGTTAGACAAGTGTGAGAGCAACTTGAAAATCAGGGGACGCCAAACGGGTTCTAAGAAACAGGTTCTAGGATGCTTGCACAGGACAATGATGTGTGCTAGCATCCTAGAACTCAATTGTTGGAACCCACGGGTCACCCAGGCATTGGCGGGCCTGCAAGAATTGTAAATACGCTGGAACACTGCAAGAAATCAGCGGTTGGGTAGCAAAATCGCGGAAACCCCGACCAATTTGTGGTTTTCCTTTGGTTTGGCTTCCTGGCTTTTTGGCTTCTCGGCTTCTTGGCTTTTCAGCTTCTTGTTGGTTTATGCGGCTTTTGGTGGCTTTTCGGCTTTGGCTTTTCGCATCCTCTGCATTCCCAGTTTCTCTCTGGCAGGTTGCTTTTGTGCTTTTGCACCCTTTCGTTGCCAACCCTCCCGCTGTTTTTAGTTCTTTGCAGAGATTAACGCACCCTTTCTTCCATCATCGCTTATTCGAACACGATCTGCTGGTTTTTTCTTCGATGTTGGCGGGACATGCGGGGGATTTGGAAAACGATGCTGGGGATGTTGACGGGCTAGTGTAAAATACGTACATTTCGTGAGAAAATGCTGTGAAATACGACATTTTACAGGCCAAGACATGTTTTTTGCAAAACAATTACAAAACGAAAACAAATAAAGTAAAAAATAACTTTTCCTTTTGGTTTCCCTTTATATAACCCAACCCAAAACGGGTACGCTCAAAAAAAGCACACCCCAGCTCTTTTCCTAGGCAGCTTCTACTCGCAGACTTGAGCTGGCAAGAAACGTTGAAGCGGGCCCCAGTTATCCAAACATGTCTAATTCAACTGGCTATGAGAGCAATGTTGGTCAGCTCAGCTTAATCATCAAACAATGCCCGGGTGTTTTTAATTTGGGTCACCTGGCAGGTCGTCCTTTTAAACTATATTGTATGTTCTGGGTTTAAGTAAGGACAGGATTTAAGTCATGTGTTGGTACGCGCTTATGCGTATGCTAGCCCTATTGATGTTGTTATCCTCACGTCATGTTGATATTGAAACATCCAAACGTGACGACAGATATGCGTGCGTATACATGCTATGCTTATGTGCCTGCTTGTGTTGTTATTGACGTTGTTGACTTCACATAGTCCATGCCTACAGTCAATACTGTTGATGCTGGTGTTGAAGTCTTTTTTGAGGGCACCCCAATTTGGGGTGGTTTTACAACAAAATCCATGTTGGGGGGTCCAATTCCTATTTTAAGACACTCCCTGTCGACGAATGGGTGTGTCTTTTTTAGGGGACGTCCCAAAATGGCGTGGTGTCTTCCTTTTGGTTTCCCTTTGAGGCCACCAAACCAGACGCAGGGTAGCTTCGCAAAAAGACGGGGGGGGTTGTTTTGGTTTCCCTTCAAGGTCGCCAGAAACCGGGTACCAACTCCAGCGCGCGACAACGCCCCGTCAGGCGGAGGACCCGTTGACCCAGGCGGCGCATGCCGCCCTCCCCGCAGCAGGAAACGGATCGGATCGGATCGGATCGGATCGGCTTGAGCTCAGGCCGGAGTACTTGCATTCGCAGGAAATGGGGGGGTTGATCCTTGGGGAAACCAGTTTGTTTCTAGGGCCCCCGGAGATTTCTTTTGGCTTTAGTGGGTTGAAAACAGACCACTTCTAGGGGCCCCGGAGTTTGTTTTTGGGGTTTAGTGGGTTGAAACGGACCACTTCTGGAGGGGAGCGAGCACCTCCCCCGTGAAAAAAAGCTGGTTGGTTGATTAATATGGGCGTGGATGAAAAGATCCTTTACATGGGGGTGACCCTTAGGGAAACACAAAAAAGGTGGCTTTCACCACTGCAAAGGACAAGTTACGCATGGTCATGTTAAGACCAAAAACTAATCAAACCCCCGAATGATAGGGGATGGCTCGCCTTTTCTACCTCCAAAATGGATTTCGGTTGCCCTTTGGCGTTCCTTTAAAACCAACCAAAAAGGGCTGCCCTTCAAAAAAGAGACGCCCGCATGTCTTGCTGAATTGAGAATTTAGCGAGTGATCACATCCGCAATCAATTTCAACTTGGCGATGCCCATCCGCTGCAAGTGTAGACGAGAAGCAAGGAAGTGAATGTGGAGTCTTGGGTCAAGTACGTGTAGGGGGCAATCCTCAGATTTGGTCTGACCCATGATTTTGGTCCATGTTTCGTCCTCCGTTTTGGTTGGCCCGTCTTTTTTTTGCAGTTGGTACCCCTGTCTTATGTTGATTGAAGGTGAAACCCGGCGGTGCCAGGAGCCTTCCTTGCCAGCAAGGAGGGAGCGGGCGCGGCGCACGCCATGCAAGGCCACTTCAGCACCAAGCACAAGGATGGCCGCTCGGAGAAGGAAGCGTCGGAGCCAAGCCTCGTCAGATTCTTTTGTCGCTTCAGACCCCTTCCCTCAAGCAAACAGGTTTTCTCCAATTCCACTTCTTGTGGCGTCCTGCATTTTGTTGTTGGGGACCCACCGCGATTTCGTTGTTTTCCTTTTGGCTTACTTTGCCCAAAGACGGGGTCACCCCTCCCTGCGTCCTCCACTTTTTCGGGAGACCCCAGGATGTCTCGGGTTTCCAGCGACCTCTTGGCACCCAGGCCTTCGTCTGGCCACCGGCTCCTGGCTACCTGCGCCATCCGACGGCCTGGAGGCCGCGTCCAGGTGGCCAGTCAGATCCCAAGTCTCTGGCGTCCATTTCCATTAGCCCAGGCATCCGAATCTTTCTAGGCCTCCAGAAGTTTAGGGGAAATAAACAGCTGGCTTTTGGAAGGAACGATGCTTGAAAAAGGAGGGAAAAGGAATCAACCCCTAGAAGCATGACGAGTTTTCTTCCACTTCGAAGCCGCAAAGCAGTTGGGTGCAGGTCTTTTGAACATATTCACCGGTTCTGAAACATGTCCATTGGTTTTCAACAATGGGTGCAGGTCTGTCTTATTTTTCAGGTCGGGCCCAACGACATGTCCTGGTTGTGCCTTTCATTTCAAGTCACCAAGCCGGGGGTACCAGCTCGCAAAAAGGCGACCCAGCCCCCCTTGGGGGGGGCAAAAATCGAGACCTTCAGCCCACAGCTGGCCGGTTGTTCGGCTGGCACGGCTGGTGGACGGAAGCCAGAGCTTCAAGGTCCCAAGACTTTCTTTTCTGTGTGTTGGTTTGGTTTAGGGAGACCAAGACCGATTTGGTCCCGGTAGCTCCCTTTCTCACCCCGAATTTTGGGTTGGGAGGGCAAGCCCCTACTAAAATAGACTACCCTTATTCTAACCTCTCTACTGGAGGACCTAGAAGAGGAAGCCAACCACCGTGAGGGGTCCATTTTGAGAAAACATGTCGGAAGTCCCGAGTCAAAAGGCAGTGGCTGGGACGTGCGCGAATGGAATCACGAGATTGATTTTGGGACCCCCTGAGAAAATATATTTCCTCGAAGGTTTGATTGTTTCGCTGCCAGTCCATTGAAATATATCGTTCCTGCGGAGCTTTGGATTGAAGTCAAAATGTTTGAAAATAACACCGCCCATTTCTTGGTGGGAACTGCAGTTTGGCCAACTGCAAGCGAATGGGTTCCACTTTCGGATGGTATATTTTCGGCAAATACTTCACGGCCTCAGAAGCCAATAATAAGCTTCATTGGACGTCAGATTGGCAAATGCCGTCCTTCTGCATGAGGTCAACAACCTCTCAAAACTTGTGGTGAAAGGTAGATATACACAGTGCGGAACGTTCCAATTTGGAGAGGAACCAGTTCGTGCTTGTGAGTTTCTTGTTTGTGAAGAAAGCACTGACAGACGGCCACAAGCACTCCACTATGGATTCCCTTAGCTCACTTGCATCACTAGCTTAGCGCCCGCTGCGAGCCAGGAGTTGATGGTGAACCTAGCAGCTGCGTTTGATGCTGCGCAGAATCCTGGCTGTCTCGATGGATCTCGCTCCTTCTTCAAGTTGCCTACAGGGAAGTTGCTGTTGTTCAACAAGAGGTAGATCAGAAGGCTACTTGCAAGCCTACGTGAAAGGCAAGACTAAGAAGGCGGTGGAAAGGATACGTGGTCCTGTCTGCATGGTCCACTTGTCCGTGACGGAGAAGCCTGCAATCCTCCTTGACACGGTTACAGCTTTCCTGCTGGTTTATGGCTTGCGTTCTTTGAGCCGGTCCCTTGCTTCTTTTTTTGTCGTCTTTCGTGAGCATTGCCTCGCTATGTTTGCCTCGCTATGTTTGCCATATTTGGGGTTGATCGATATTCCTGGCCCACGAATGACCATGAGTAACTTTCCCATTGAGCGGCACGAATCATCTTCCTTTGCGGTTTCCTCAATGGTCATCCCATGTAAATTAAGGGAGCTTTTGATCAACCCCCATATGAGCCACAATCAAATCCCGGGTAGATGAAGGTTTGTAAGGGGCAGTCCCAGCCAAAAATAGTTGCGGATATCCGCCTTCTTAGTTCTGTACATGTTTCTGGGTCCTGAATATTTTACTACCGGGCATTGATTGCGACTCATATGTGCACTCAAAGCAAGTAATTGTCAAGCCGTCACGAGGAAAGATGTGGTGACGACTCTGGCAAATGTGCTTTGGGGTCAGCCCCATACAGTGGCTGCCACTTGGACCGACCATCTCAGTGTTTCTATGGAACGAAACTCGACCGTTGAAAAGCCCCCGCCTCATTTTCGGGTTTTTCTTTGAGGGTACCCCCCAAAAAAAACAAGGTGGTTAAAAACAGAAACACGGTACCCTCATTGTTTGTTTACCCCATTTGGCGACATTTTCGATCGAGTTTCTATTTGGAGACCGTTGTGTGTGTGTGTGTGTGTGTCCATGTGTCTCAAAACTCGGCCCTGCGCATACTTTTGTTTCCCAAATACAAGCGTAGCCCTCAGCCGGAAACGTGAGCAGGGCAATCTGAGTGAGAGCCTTTTTAGACGAGGGCTTTTCTTTCTCACCGTTTTTTTTCTGCCCTCGTTAAAGGGAAACCAAAAGGAACCAACTCCATTTTGGGCCGCCTAAAAACGAGAGACCCATTCAAACAAGCTTTCCAATCTTTGGGCAATCTCACTGGTAACGGGACACCTACACCTATACCCTTTGTTGGTGCTCACAGTGTTTTTTTTGCATGATAATTTGCGAATTCGCGCAGCTAGCTGCTAACTACTCTGGAACCAACTCCATGTTGGGCCGCCAAAAAAGAGAGAGACCCATTCAGCTAAGCTTTCTAATCTTTGGGCAATCTCACTGTTAACGGGACACCTACACCTATACCCTTTGTTGGTGCTCACAGGTTTTTGTTTTTTAAGCTGATATTTTTCCCGGTTTTGCTCACTCAGACAGCAGCAGAGAGACATGGCTGTGGGTCAAAAATCGGGTAACCCCAAAATGGGTTGCCCTGGTAAATGGAAGCCTGAACTAAACCTGCGGTCAATATCCTGGTGGTTTCATTTATCTAGTGCTACCTTCCCCATTCTTTCCAGGGATCATTATTTCTAGAAAACCTCCGGAAACGCATGGAAACGGATCCGGTTTTCGAAAAGAACGATGGTTGGAAAGAATGGGAAGCAACCCTTAGAAGTTTGACCCATACCCACACCAAACCGCACCCCAACGTCAACGACGTCCAAACCAGGCCTTGGCCTCGATGTGCGACCTGCCGCTCCTGGCAGCGCCGGGACTAGAGCATTATGGGCTGCTGGACGTGGTGCGCTACAGGAGAGATCCCGACTGAGAAGACTCTCTTGGGATTGATTGGACGGGTTCCACTGGTTTTTCGATGGGTTTTATGTTCCATGAATTTTGAGGATTCCCATGACTCAAAAGACCACGGAAGTGTGGTTTCCAGGTGATCAAAGCCAGCTTGACTCCAAGGCTGTTCGTGAGCCGCGGGTGTTGACATATCCTGTTTGTGTTTTGTGTTGGACAGCTTTAAGTTGGGAGCAACACTTAGATTGACACACATGCACGTATGTGTATACATGTATATATATATTAATATATATATATATATATATATATGTATATATATGTATATAGATGTACAAATACACACAGACACAGACATAGACGCAGACACCACGCACACACACACACACACACACAAGCGCGCGCACACGCACACATACCGCTGAGAATTCTTGTGCTGACGAGCACACACACACACACCCACCCACCCACCCACCCACCCACCCACCCACCCACCCACGCACGCACGCACGCACGCACGCACGCACGCACGCACGCACGCACGCACGCACCCACCCACCCACCCACCCACCCACCCACCCACCCACCCACCCACCCACCCACGCACACACACACACACACCACACTCCCCCATTGTGCTGGCGAGTTCTTGCAGGATGGGCCCAGACAGTCCAGACGAGGCGGGGAAATGCAGCCGATTGGCGGCGAAGTGTGCATAGAGTGTGCTTTCAACGTGATACGGGGCACTTGAACCACAATTAATTTCCGGGTAGATGAAGGTTAAGGGGCAGTCCCAGCCAGAAATAGTTTCGGATATCCGCCTTCTTAATTCTTTATATCTAGGTGTCCCAGTAGTGCCCTTTTGCCCTTTTCCGGGGGAGGGCAAGCCCCTACTAAAATAGACTAAAGTACAAAGTTGGTACCCTTATTCGAACCTCTCTACTGGAGGACCTAGACATGGTTCTGGGCCCCGACCATTTTACCGGGTTTTGATTGATGCCTCAGGTGGTCTCCGCGCACGTTGACCCCGGGCTGCTGATCATGAGCCTTCCATCCAGTACTGCTGGCCTTGAGTTGAAAACTGGCTCGCAGGCCTGGTCGGAGATGTGCAAGAGCAGAGTTGGATCCTGAAGTTTTAGAGGGTTTCAAAATTGACACATTGTATGTTTAAGAAAAAACAACTGTTTATCTAAATAGAATAAACATGTTGATATTATTGACATGGATGACACATATATAGTTTGACTATGGAGATGTATTATATATATATATAGATAAGTATAGCATATTGATACTATTGAGATGTATACAGACATATATATATATATATATATGGTCACCCCTCCCGGGCCTACCTTTCCTCCCTTCTAGTTGAAGGTTTCAAGTATGAGCATATATATATATATACGTATATAACATATATTTATTTAGATAGACATGTACTTCTCCGTCCGGGTCGAGGTCTCCGGCAGTTGGCTTGCAGCGCCTCCGGGCCTCGGGGTGCTGTGGACGGGGGCGGCGGCACAGATGCTGGGGCTGCCCAGCGGCGGCCTGGCTCATGGCCAGCCATCGTTTTCCGTGTTTGTTGTGTTCTTTTTTTTTTTTTTGGGGGGGGGGGCAGGCTCTCTTCTTTAACTATATATATATATATTAAAAGGGAACCCCCTTTTGGGTGTACCCCCTATTTTTAACACTACCCCCAGTTTGTGGATTGGCGTCTGTTTGGGTTTGAAAGGGAAGCCCAAAGGACAACCGTCAGTTTGCTCCAAATCCAAACCACCAATTACAGAGTGAAGCTGAATCTAGGTCACAAGGGTAGAACTACCTACCCGGACCCTCAAACTTCCAGCCTAAAAGTGGGTTATAGCAACCCAAAATGATGGGCCGAAGTCCGTTTTTTCATTGGTATTTTGAGGGTCCAGGATGTGTTGTTTTGTTTTAAGGGGAAAAATAATTTTCCTCCAGCTTTCTGCATTCTGCACCCCAAGTCACCAGTGAGCAGCACGGATTTGCACGCAATCTGACTGTAGCGGGGCGAGTCTGAGAAGCATTTGTGTTCTGGAAGATGTGCACCGTGCCACGAAGGTCGTTTGTTTCACAGTGGACCTCTGTACATCAAACGTGGGGTTAAGTCGTGCCTTGGAGGCCTTTGCGTCGCAGATCACTGACAATTCTTGAAATGCCCCTCAAATAAGAACAAACCCCACAGATACAAATTTTGGGCTTCCCCCCCCAAAAAACAACAACATGTTTTTGACTTGCGGTTTCTATGGTGGAAGTACTCAGAGCTCGCCCCGCCTTTCGGCTTCGAGATCTTCCGAAACGTTTCCTTCCGCAAGGTCTTCACCGCGTGGTGGCTTCGCCAGAGAGGCCAGGACGTGGAGCGCAAATCGAAGATTTTACCCTCGGAAGCTGCGGGTATGCCAAGAAACGGCTGTGGTCCAAAAATCCGGTAACCCCAAAACGGGCCGCCCTATGAAAACATGGACTAAAATCTGCGGTTCATGTCCTGGTGGTTTAACTTTGACCTATACCCAATGTGTTTCTGTCTCCCCAAACCAGCAAATGGCTTCAATGATCCCAATGCCTTGATGTTCAACTTGGCTTCGGATGCTCAGGCAGCCGCGCGTGAGTGCCTGGCACGAGATTTGCACCCGCCGCTCGGCTCTTTTTCGGCCAAATCGAAAAGGCTGCGGCTGAAATCTGAAGCGCAGCTGTGAGTGTACCCCCTACTCAAAATACCCTCTGTTTTCAGGGTATTTTTGGGAAAACCTGGTTTTCCATAATAAATACCTCCCTTTTTAGTAGAGGGCCGACATCTGGGTATTGGGTGTAGGGGGTATTCTTGCAGCACTTCAAGCAAGCCATGGCAAATCGCAGATGTTGCTCCCATGTTTTGGCTGGATCAACCGTTTTTAAAGGGGCATGGCCACGTTGGAACACTCGGTGGATGAGATTCCCAGCACAGAATGATGCACCAATCTCAAGCTCCGCCAATTGACACGGAAGTCGATCCAAGCCGGAGTCCTTTCTGGAGTTGGCAACCAGTTTCTGGGTTTCAAAGGGAAACCAAAATAAACACCATTTAGGCGGGTCCAATCTAAAGACAGACCCGATGAAGGATTTGGACTTGCCATTGGACCCAAATGGGGGGACCTCTCGTATCAATGACTGCATTGGGCTCAGCTGTTGCATCAACTTGTGGGCCTTTCTTCTTCAACCCCTCCGGCTTGGCCTTGATTCTTTTGATACGGCTGGTACAGGTTACCAGCTCAAAGAGACGCAAATGGGCGCTTCTCCAATTGGGGACTCCATGTAGGTGGTGTCCTGTTGTTTTCCTTTTCATAACCACCCTACTAAGGGTCCCCATTTTGAAGAAAGGCCCCAGCTGAAGTCCCAATGTTCGCAGATTTCGCAGGCGCGCAGCTTTGCGAGCCCATGCTGCGCTCGGTGGAAAGGGCGAATTGCCAGCTGAAGTCGCTCGGCCGAAATCCCATGGGTCCTCAAAAAAGAAACAAACATTCAACTCACTGGGCTAGACTTAGGATACATTTCACATGTTACCAGTGACTCAAAGGGAAGCAAACAATAGAATATACATTCTAGAACTGGGCCTAAGTCTATTCATGCTCAAAGGTGAAGCATCTTCTGGTCAAAGAGACAACAATTTGGGGGGGGGGGGGTCGACATCAAAGGTGAACCATCTTCTTATCCCGGCAATCCATCAGTGAATTCTTGGTTCACCTTTGCCTGGTCAGTTCTCAGCATCTTTTTGCGGAGTCCGCGCGAAGCGAGGCTGGGCGGCACGGTCGGCACAGAGCAAGTGCTGAGGCGGGAGGGGGATTCGGAGATTCGGAGATTCACAGGGCTCAAGCGGATGAAAGTGAGGGGCTTCCCAAAGGCTGCGGACCTCCGTTTGACTTCCTTACCATGGACTTGGGTCCCATTTCTTTTTCTGAACTCCGCTCGGTTTCGATGGACTCACAGGCTCTGTTTGATTCCCCGATGTCCTGGGCGATTTGAGCCGGAGCGTGCAACCGGGAAGGTGTCGGAATACGTGGGAGGTGTGCAAATACGCAGGGGGGCACGCTTCCCAAGGCTTAAAATGTGTCCGAAAGTGCCAGGAATGCACACCTGTTGTACAATGCATCGGAATGTTGTGCTTTTCAATCAAGCAATGGACGGCAACTTGGGTTTGGGCGCGCGTAGATCGCATCGTTTGGGGAATGCATTGCCCAAAGTAAACATCAGATCCAGCTGTTAGGCATGGAGTGTCATTCTGATTTGACGTGTAAAGGGTCGTATACCTTGTCTTTTTCTTGATGCATTTCCCAACCCGTCGGGACGCGCATCAGCAAGTCTTTACCCGAGCTTTACATAAAGCCGTCTATTTGCACAACAAGCTACACTGCGCTGGATGTGCTCTGACTTCGTAACAAGTGAGTCACTTAATTTCCATCAGTCAAAGGACCTAGTCTGCTGGCATCAGAGTGTTTTGAACTGGATTATCCCCCGAAAGTCTTGTCTTTGAACGCGACTTGTTGCACCAGAGCTCTTGGTGTGTTGGGGTGTGCCATTCGTCCCAACATGCACCATTATCACAAGTGCACTTGCCATCGCTTTTGGCTTTAACAGGTGGTGTTGAAATCTGCTGCGCAAACAACTCAGTGCGTCAAGAACACTCCAAGGATATGTGCGCATCCGAATGAAAAAAACTGGTTTTAGCGAACTCGTGCATCCGAGTTTCTTCTCCTCCAACAAAGCGGTGGGTGACTTGCCACCAGCAGATCTCAGGCTCCAGCTCCAGGAACCTCAAGGGCTCCGTAACCCCAGCTTCGCCCATGTGGGTGGAGCCAGGGAGACAGCAGAGTCGCAGGGTTCAATCAACCGCAACTCAAGCATTACGGAAACACAGGTGGCCTTTTTGGTTGTTTTGGTAGAAAATAGATGGGTTTTCCTGGCTTTGCCTGGTGGTTTAATAATCCACCAGGGAAACCCATCTATTTCATGTACGGAAAACAGTCATGTTCCCAAGTTAGATAAGGGCAAGGCACACCTGGTCATAGATCTCCTCTTGGGCGCTTATGACGCATCCGCTTCCATAGCCTTGTTTCAGGTTCTTAGTTGGCTTTGTGGTTGGGTTTCCATTTAACCCACCAAAAGTTTTCAACCTTAGGGAATCTGAGGGCCCAGGCCGGAAGCTGTCATGATGTTTCTCTGGCCGCAGGCTGCTGCAGGCGAGCGAGGACCACGACGCCGCGCGCTCGGCGCAGCTGATGCACCGCAAGGGCGTGCCCGTGGGCAAGTCCGGCCACTTCGGCCGCAGAGAGGCCCAAAACAAGTCAAACGACCGAGGCCAGTCTGACCGAGGCCAAAAGGATAGACGACCCCCCGAAAACCTGTGAGGGTGTCCATAAACTTCCATTGGCTGAAATGAATATGTTTTGTCATTTTCCCCTGTTGGTTTTAAAAGGAATCGATTTCACTACTGGAAAGATGTTCTCATTTTTCCAGGAGTCTTAAGCAAATGAAGTAAAAGGATGGGCGAGCCCCGAAAACCTGTGAGGGTGTCGCATTTGGAAGAACCCTTCCAAGATGGCGCTTGATTTTTCGGTTTTCCTCTTGGTCTCTCTTTAGAACCAGCCAAGAAAGCGGGTACCCAACAAAGCAGACAGACCCCAAAACCGCTGGCGCGGGGGCGATGCTAGGGCAGCTGCCAGTGATGGGGGGACCGCCCCCCAAAAAAACGCGGTGTTTGCAGCCGGGATCGAAAACGGTGCACGCGCCCACCCCCACGTAATAGCCTTTCCAAGGCAGGCCCCTGGAAACAGGGGCTAGGAGAACGCCCAATGGGTCTAGGGCCAACTCCTGGCACGCTCAGTTTCGTCTTGCGCATCTCCATCGACAGGTGGCATAGCTAAAGCTGGCGGGTCGGCGGGTCCTGAGATGGGACCACGGTCCCTCTCTCGGACTCCGAATCGTAACATGCAACGACGCATGTGCAACTCACCGCGGCTTCCCCCGAAACCGGTTCTCGCGCAAAACGAGTACTGTCGTAAAAAGGACGCTCCCAAATCGAGCGAGCCGTAGACAGGAGCCTTGCCCGGCATATTCCTTGCTTCAGCTCAGTTGCCACGTGCGAACTTCGGGCCTCGTCCTTCGAGCCGCCGAGCCGCGCCGCAGGCCGCAGGCTGGCAGGCCATCGGAAAGACGCGCGCATGGTGATGCCACCTGCCGTATCCCACTTTCAGTTGCCAACCGCCTACGGAAGCCTAGCTGCCGAACAAACAAACAAACCAACAAACAAACAAACAAACAAAGAAACAAACGAGCAGTGCTTTTGCAGACCGCTTGCAACTTGCACAGCCCTCAAAGGTTGAGCTGGCCCTCAATTGTTGACCCTGCAAGGTTGAGCTGCAAGGCAACTCGCCCTGCCAGGCTGAAACCTACAGCCCTCCGCAGTCCCCGTCACGCCGTCGCCCTTCAATCACCAGAGTCCAGCCCAACCTTTGGGCCCGCCCAGCAACCTTTCGGAAAGGCTGAAGCTCGGAAGGGCTGAAACCCACCGTCCAGATGTGGCCATGGGTCAAAATCCAAATCGGTTCCCAGTGAACATCCGATTCAATCCAACCACTGAAATAGGTTCTAAAATGGGTGGTGAAATCACCCACCCAACCAAATGGGATCCCATTGGTTTTGACCCACAGCCATGCGTCAAACCAGGCGTGCGCATGATTGAGAAGCTCGTGCCGCTGCGCGGGGACGAGCTGCAGATGTTGGCGTCGCAGTCCGGACGGAACGCCATGAGGGTTCCCACCATGCAGAGGGGTCCCACCACGCAGACCATGCCAAGCTGCTCGGCGAAGGATGGCGTTTTTCCACCACCTTTGGTTGAATGTGGCACTGGTGGCTGCCAACTGCTGAGGCGATGTCGTGGAGGTCGTTCCCATGTAGCGCCATGTATCCAGGTTGAGCAGCTGGATAGCTCCTTGCCCGCGCGTGAGCGGTCAATATTCATGATCGAATCTTGAAGAACTGATGCCGATTTGGATTCGGGACTCTCACCTGAATTTTTCACAGACTTCAGTTCTCGGGCCAAAATGAATATTGACCCAGGCTGTAGCGACAGTTTTTGTTCGCTCTCCCTGCCATGTACAGTTTGGGTGGTGAGCGAAAGAAATCTGTGGCGGCGAGCTGCTTCTGGAGCCAAAATTTGCAATTTCCAGGGCTCATGTCACACACACGCACAGAGGCGCGTCCCTTTGGGTTCCAAGCTGAAATTGGATGGGTTCCACCGGTTTGGATTATGGCCCTCTTATGTTCCCAAAAGGTCGCTGCGCTTAGCACGTGGGCTTTGAGAGAGGTGGTGCGGTTCCTCCGTCACCCGCGACAGCCTGCAGGCTGGATGCCATGGCGAGTTTCTGGGTTCCACTGTTCGACGGGGCAAGGAGTTGACCGGGTGAGGCCACTTTTTGGCTTGTAGACTCAAACCCAGGTGGCCATGTTTCAAAACCAATGGATCCCATTTTGGGATAGGTGCACCACCCATTTTAGAACCTATTTTAGTGGTTGGATTGAATCGGATGTTCACTGGGGGCTAACCGATTTGGATGTTGACCCATGACCAGGATAGGTTTCTAGGGTTTGATTCCCCATTCTTTCCAACCATTGTTCTTTCCAAAAGCCGGATCCGTTTTCCCTGAGTTTCCGGAGGATGTCTAGAAAGATTCGGATCCCTGGAATTGGGGAAGGGGAAGGTACCCCTAGGTTAGTTGATTTCCCCAGGTGAAAACGGGCAGTCGCCAGAAAGCAGAGCCTGGTTGACGGGGCTCTTAAGCCAAGCTTTCGACCATGAACTTGGTGGCTCCCAGCCATCCGGTTCCTTAGCCTTTCAGCTTTTTAGTGTTTATTGGTAGTTTCCATTTAACCCACTAAAAGTTAAACTTTTAGCGGGGGATCTGAGGGAAGCTCAGCAAAGAAAACCGAAAAGAAAACCCACCAAGCGGGGAATGGGGGGGGGGTCCAAACCAAAAAAAGCCAGACCCGTATTGCCGCCAAGACCTTCTGCAAAGAACTTCCGCAGGGTCTGCGAAGCATTTTTTGTTCACAGATTCGCTGCCCGGCGGTATTCTGCTGGGTTGGGCGATTGAGTCGATCATTTTACCCTGAGGTTGGGGATAAGATTCTGCCAACGGAACGAAGAATCCCAGACACTCCATAGGAATATTAACCCATATCCCTCCATATGGGTCAGTTCTGTTGGTATAATATATATATATATATACTACCTGCATGGTTATGGAGTGTGTGGGAATATATTCATAGGTAATAACCCTCTGGATGAGGGGGTGTCCCATTCAAGAGGCATTCACTCAAGAGGTCTCTGAAAGTCACTTTCGGGACACACCGGCGCCTAAATTGCCACGTGGGGGGTTGATCCAGAGGTTCATGACACATTGGGTGACCATAGCAACCACAAACAAGATTTGATTTTCTCCCCCTGAGGAAAGTTACCCACGGTCAGAACTGGGGCCAGGAATATGGATGAACCGGGCCCCAGATGTCTTTTGATGTTGGATCAGCTCGTGACTTGGGCTCTTGCGATAGGACGTGAAGAACACGAGCAGGCCTGCGCCGGTGGTGAAGGAGGTGTTAGAGGCCGGCGTTCCATGTCCGTGGCTGGTTCGTTGGAGGGCGGAACCTGGATCTAGGTTTTCCAGTACCCTTTTTTGGGGGAGGGTTCCCCTACTAAAATAGACTACAGAAGAAAGTTGGTACCCTTATTCTAACCTCTCCACTGGAGGACCTAGTTGATGGAAGAGAGCACCGGCCAGGCTGTGTCCGTACTTCTCGCTCAACCTGAGACCAGGCGTCGGCAGAAGGCTAAAGCTGGTTGATGCTCCGTTGGATGCTCGAACCAGCCCGGACCCCAAAAAACGGGTCCGCTAAAACGTGGTTCTCTAAAACATGTGGTTGTGGGTGCCATGTGAATCTGTTGGAGTCTAGATCTCTCAGTCCCTGTAAACTGACAAACTGACAAGTACCCAGTGGAAAAACCTTGTGTTGGCCGAGTGACCAATTTGCCGCAGCCGCGCCAGCGCGAATTTTTGGGTATCACCATGGAGCCTGAAGGCCATGATCTAGACCTAAGTCAACTAGACCTCAGTCAACTGGAGCTGGCAGATGACGAGATTGACAATATTCTCAGGGACATCTCACAAGTCGAGAGCCTTGGCAGCATGCCGAGGTTCAGAGATGGCTACTGAAGGGTGAAAGCTCGATCAGAACCAAGGTTCTCAGCCTAGCTCTATCTTGTGCTCTTCTGTTGCGGGGGGGGGAACTGCAAAGGTGGTTCTGTGATCTTTGTACTGCTTTTCTTGCTTGTTCTCAGTCCGTAGGGAAATGTAGGGAATACCCTCTTCCAACCATCCAGATTCGTCCTCGTCGGGAAAGGAAGGTGGTTTATCCCATATTCAACGAGAGCTAGCAAATGTTGTGTGATCAGAGACTTATACGCTGAATTCCATTCGAACACTCCAGCAAATGGCAAAATACCTAGGGCTTCAAGAACCTGTACAAATGTCGTACCCTGACTAAAACATCGTGTTTTTTTCTCGATTTTCTGAAAACATTGTGTTTTCAGGAAAAACATCGTGTTTTTGATAAAACCCCTTAAAACTGGGCTTCTGAGGCCAAACACTCATTTGGAGCAAAGGGTCAAAGGCAAGGGTCGGGAGTGGATTCACACAGACATCACCCATTAAGATTTCAACTGAGGGCAACGCTCTATACTGAGTATGCTTCAAATTCTAAGGACCACATTGATGAGCCTGACAGCCAGGGTGTGCAGCTGGCTTCAGTCTTGAAGTACCTTTCACAGCAACAGGCACCTGAAGACTGGCGCCAGGTCATACCGAACCAGTTTGAAGGGGGTGCTGGAATCCGAAAGCTCCTTTTGGTGCAAAACAAGACCAGGTGACACTTTTGAGATTGTTTTTGTTTAAATCAATTTTGAGTTTTTTTTAGCAAATGGGGCGGGATCCTGGCGGCTAACCGCAGAAACCCGCAGAAAACCCGTAGAAACCCATAGAAACCCCGTAGAAACCCGTAGAAAGCCCGCAGCCCCAACCGAAAACATCGTGTTTTTGGAAAACATCTTGTTTTCTAACCCGTAGCTAAACCGTGGAGAACCCGTAGTAAAGCGTGGCAAAGCGTGGAAATTCTATGGGTTTTTCGGGTTCAACCACGAATGCGCTAATTCGAGAATGTTGCTGGAAAACAACGAAGACGTGAGCAAAAGCACGGTCTTTGCTTGAGCTTGCGCGCTGTTCGAAGCCAGCACGCCCTCATCATGGCACTGCTGCTTGACAAGTGTCATAAAACCGTGGTACTTTTGACTATTTGGGTCCCCGGCCTCCTTCTTTCAGGTTGGAGTTGCGAAAGACGAGTGGCGAATGCGAAGCTGATTTCGTTGCGAGTGCAAAAGGGGAGGGCGATGGGCGATTCTGAGGTTGAGATGATGCTTTTGAGATCTTTTGAGAACGGATGACGAGTTGAAGGAATGTATGGGAAACTGCTTGAAATCGAAAATGCGGCGTTTCCCGAAAACATCGTGTTTTCCCAAAAAACATCGTGTTTTTTGTAGGTATGACATTTTCATCGGTTTTTGAGGCTCCTGGTACCTGAAAATCGCAGCAAGTGTAACTCGCTTGCCCAAAGCCCACCTTTTAACGCTTTGGTTTTCCCATTCTGGTCCTTTTCTAGTCAAGGCCCTAAAAGGTTAACCTGGTAATTTCCAGGTCCTTTGGGCAAGTGAGGTAGTCAGCTCACAGCGAAGCAGAACGCGAAAAATAAGCTAAAACCTGCGGCCACACATGCACACACTCGGAACCAGAGCCTGAGCCTATCAAGAAAAATACAATCGGAACTGATGATGTTTCGTCAGCCATGGGTGCCGCTCCGTTGCATTCAGCATTAAATCTTCACGTTGCAGCGTTGCTTCAATTTCTTTGCGGATTCGAAAACAGGTTGGTGGTTGGCGCTTATGAAGCGCCTGTCCTGGCTTCGGGGGATTTTGCGGTCGATTTTCTCTTGGTTGGCACTCATGCGACGCGTCCTATACATTGTCATAGATGCTTGCTCGTGTAGCGCATGGCAACCACTACACTTGTTAGAACCACTAGCTCGAAGTGATAGCTGGATGATGGGCATGACACTTTTTGGTGGGCCATAGAGTTCAGCAGCCGCCAACTGCAGCTTGGATAGGGAGCTTAGAAATTGTTCTAAAAAGTTATGTGATGCTCCATCAAGAGCTATCACCAGAAAGTAAACATCGAGAAACACGATGACCTGGACTGTCAAGCGCATATACTTGTGGCGCTGGTTCCTTTTTCCTCCCTTTTTTTTAACATTGGCCTTTGATATCCTTTGATTTTGTTCTACATAGCAGCTTCACGATTCAGCTCCAGAAGACAGCCACCTGCCGATTTGGTGCGCCACCTTGTGCCATGGGGTATTCTTTACACGATACTGTCCGTTAAACGCTTGGATAAGTTGGCCTCCTAGTTAGCTGGAATAGGTTCAAAGCACCAGATGACCATGGTCAAAAGGCTTTGTGATGCATAGGTTGATCCGCTATGTTCAATGTCTTTACACCAAACCATGGCAGTGTTTTTTGCGCTTTGTGCACCAATCAAACAAAGTTTCTCGCTTCGCGATGCGCACAATTTTGACCGTCAAAATGTACAGGTACGTGCCAAATAGGGGACCCTTCAAAACGGATGTCGGTTTTCCCGGCGGTTTCCCCTTTTTCCCACCCCAAGCAACATAAACATACCCTTCGCCTCAAACAAACGTGTGGGTATGGGTCAAAATTAAACCATCAGGATATGGACCGCAGGTTTTAGTCATTGCTGCCATTTGCCGATCGGGCAACCCATTTTGGGTACCTGTGTTTGACAATCACACCCATGTGATGCAGAACCCGCAGAACGCTTTGGTACCCTCCCCAAACCTTCCAGTACCCAGCAGCACCACCCGGCTCCGAAGTGTTGCTTTTTGGGTTCTCGTGCTTACCGGATTTTGGTTACCTGGTTGAGTCAGAAGGCCCACCAGCACCCGGATTGCTTTTTCTTTTTACATGGTTTTTGTGTCAGAGGGCAGTTGGGGCCCTCTGCCATGAGCTCACCCGGTGCCATGAGCTCAGCTCAGGGTGCTGGCCACGGAGATCGCCAAGATGGAGATCTCCGAGCCCGAGCTGCTGCGGGCGACCTCTCCGCGGCGGGTCTTGCGGGGCTTCGGCCGAGTACTGCGGCTGGACCTTGCGTTGGGGCAAAAGCACTGGGAGAAGTGGAGCCGCCCAACTAGGCGAGCAATGCCGAGGATGCCAGGGTGGTGCTTGTTTCGGGAGTGGCGTTGGTTGGTGGCAAGCCATCCGGTTCCTAGGTTTGTTGGGTGTTTCTTGGTTTAGTTTAGTGGTAGCTTCCCATTGAAAACCACTCAAGTGTTCGACTAGTAGCAGGGATCGAATGGAAACAGCCCAGGTGTGAATTGGAATTTGCAGGGTGAGTTGTTTTGTATTTCAGGAAAGGGTCCCTATCCTAAGGATGGCTAGGGGTGAAAAAGGGTTCAAGTAGCTTCCAAGGGAACTGGGTTGGCTTCCCAACAGCAGGGCGGGGAGGGGGCAATGGAAAAGGGAAAACCCTATTCTTCTGGCTTTCTCAGGTCAAACCTCGATGCTTTTGAGGCAAACCTAAAGAAGCTGAAGGTTGATTCCGATGCAGCGGGGGGGGGGGGTGTTGGCAAGAGTTTGATGCGAGAAGGATCCCAAACAGAATGGGGTTCATGGTGCCCTGCGATTTTTGTTCGGCGCAAGAAATTAGGGTACAGCATTTGTGTGCTTTCTTTTGTCCTCCGTTCCTAGAGTGTTCCAATCCCTTGACCAAAGAGCAAAGGGCAAGTTGCAAGGGTGGGCAGGGCGTTCATTGCCCAGAAAGCGGAGAGCTGTTTGGCTTCTGCTCAGAGTCACGCCGTCTCCCCATTTGTCTCTCCTAGCTTGTACTTGGTGACTCGGACCTTGTCTCCTCACTTGACTCCCCACAGTCTCCCCACTTGTCCCGCAGGCTCTCCCCGCTTGTTGCAACATTGTGGGTCCCCACTTGTCTCCCCACTGGTCTCCCTGCTGCGTGTGCTTGCTAGCCCGAACCTAGTCACAGCTTGTCTCCTTGCTCGTCTCCCGATTTCCCCGTTTTTCACGCTGCTTGTTCACTCGGACGTTGCGAATGGCCGAGTCCATCAAATCACTCCTGCTCCCCGACTTGTCGCCTGGCTTGGGCTTGCCGACTCGGGCCTCGTGGCTTGTGTGCCCACTTGTCTCCCTTGTGTCCCTGCTTGTGCTTGGTGACTCGGACACTTGTTTAGCACGTCTGTTTTCTCCTGTTGCCTTCCATGGCACTTACTTGCGCTCTTGGTGCTCCACGACATGGAATGCAAAAGCTGCGACAAGACTTGACGACAACAGTTGGTTACCCAATTGGTTGTTGCTCATTCCTTGCACCCCATTCATGCGAAGCAATGCCTTGTCCTTGACTTGGCAGCTTGATTTGGCTGCCTAGGCATGGTCTCCGGTTGTTGGCAAGTTGTGGCCCAACTGAAAGAAGCTGATGCGTAAATTGTTTTTTGAGGTCGATGCCGGTTGAATTTGAGGATCGTCAAATGCGCAAACCAGGAAAGGGATAAACACGTTGAAACATCAAACAGTTCAAACATGAAATGTTTAAACACGTTTACAGGCCCTCCCTTTTTTGTTTAAACGTTTAAACATCATCCCGACCGGGAGATGCTTAAACCTGCTTCGGCAAATCTGTAGCCGCAGCGGTATGGCACGCAGTTTTTCAACTTGGCAACGACTTGCTGGGGCGGTGGATTGGAAAGCTTTGCAGGGTAGGAAACGGGTGGCAAGGGCTGCGGCATTGCAACTCTGCAAGGTCTGCAGTTTGGCAGAGTTGCGTGGGCAGCGTATGGGTTGCCAACTTGGCAAGCGCGTTTTTGACAACATTCAAACAGCAACTGTTTCGGCGGGCCGTTTAAGCACGCTTAGCCGTTTATGGGAGTGACATCGTTTAGGCGGACCGTTTAAACATAAACATGTGACATTTCTTAAGCGATCCTTGAGGGAGACACTGCTGACGCGGACCGTTTGTATAAACATGTCTTAAACTGTTGCAAAATGTTCAAACTGCCCCCAACACCTGCGTCTTCCTGCGTGCTGGTGCGGGTGGTGGTGGGAGTGGTGGTGCTGGTGCTGGTGCTGGTGCTGGTGCTGGTGCTGGTGCTGGTGATAGTGATAGTGATAGTGATAGTGATAGTGGTGATGGTGGTGAGAGTAATACTTTGACCTTCTCGCGCCAAATGCTTCTAGCCAAGGGGCAAACAAGGCTGGCGCAATGTCCACCGCTTGAACAAGCCCCCAAATGTTTACCCAGTTTTCTGCTCACTGTGTGTCAAGGCAATGTGTAAATGAATGCTATTTAATCAGTGTTTACACAAAAGTTCAAACAATTTAAGCCTGAGCCAGCGACATTCCTGGCGCAAACCCCAAAGCCGCCACCTCTTCAGGCAGATCGGGCAGTTCTGGAGCCATTCGTGGCAGGCAGACCCTTGGGCAAAGGTCTTGCTGCTCTTTTTGGTTTGCAACGGCATGCCCGCCATTGTCGTGGGCACGTTGGCCGCTTTAGCGGCGAGCTTTTTGTGCGGCTTTGGAATTCTGCCGGGCTATCTTCATACGCCCTGGAACCATCCGGAGCTGGTGGTGGCTTTGTTGCATTTCGCTTGCATGTTAGGACTTTAACTTTTTCCCGGAAGCATCGCGAAGGGATTTTTTCTAAAAGCGGCTGCAAACTTCACCTGCCAACTTCTTATGCCAACTTGCCAAGAAGTTGTTTCACCTGCCAACTTCTCGTGCCAACTTTTCGAGAGTTACTTCACCTGCCAACTTCTCATGCCAACTTTTCGAGAGTTACTTCACCTGCCACCATCTCATGCCAACATCTTGAAAGTTATTTCACCTGCTAACTTCTCATGTCAACTTCACCTGTCAACTTCGCCTGCCAATTTTTCGAGAGTTATGTCAAGCATGGCACTTGTTAGGTAAACACAGTCCGTCTAAAATGCGAAGTTAAACTTCAACGTTGAAGATGAGGGTAAAAATAGTACGCAAAGAGCACTCCCAGAGCTCCGACTGCAAATCACAATTTTTAAGTACAATAGTAGTGCACGAAGCGCGCTCCCGCAACTCCAGCTGGAAATTCGCAATTTGTACGCACAAAAGTAGTACGCGAAGTGCGCTCCCGCAGCTCCGGCTGCACAACCGCTGCTTCTACGTACAAAAGTAGTAGGCGAAGCGCACTCCTGCAGCTTCGGCTCGAAATTCGCAACTTCTAAGTACAACAGTAGTACGCGAAGTACATTCCCGCAGCTCTGGCTGAAAGCTTGCAAGTTTAAAGTGCAAAAGTAGTACGCGCAGATCACTCCCAGAGCTCCGACTGCAAAATCGCAATGTTCACGTACAACAGTAGCACGCGAAGCGCATCCCCGCATCGGGAATGCACTTTGCGTACTACTTTTGCACGTAAAACTTGACTTCGTGCAGTCCCCGCATTGTCCTTTGTGGCTGCGCAAGCGTTACGCCAAGCACAACCGCGCAGACAAGAAGCAGCGCGGGCGCTGATCCGCGGACGGCAGCAGTTGCAGGGGGGCTTGCCGGCTCAGGCGAATTCGAGCCAAAGTTGCAGGAGCGCTCTTCGTGTACTACTTTTACACTTAGACATTGCGATTGCTCTGGAAATGCTCTCTGCGTACTACTTTTGTACTTAGAAGTTGCGAATTTCGAGCCGGAGATGGCTCTGGCTCAAGAATAGGAATTCTCAAGTACAAAAATAGTGCTGCCGCAGTTCTGGCTGCAAAATCGCAAGTTTTGGGTACAAAAGTTGTACGCGAAGTGCATTCCCGCAGTTCCGGCTGAAAACGCAAGTTTCAAGCATGCAAGCAGCACGCGAAGAGCATTCACGCAGCTCCAGATCGCAAATAGTAACTTTTTTGAGTACAAAGGTAGCACGCAAAGTGCGCTCCTATGGCTCTGGCTCAAGAATCGTGCGCGAAGTGCGCTCTCGCAGCCCCAGCTCGAAAATCAGTTTTTAAGCGCAGGAGTAATGTTCGGAGAGTGCGCTCCATCATGTCCAGCTCGCAAGAATGCAACTGTGAAGCGCAAAAGAACCGCCCAGTAGCTTATGCGCGCAAAAGTAGTGTGCGAAGTACACTTCCGTAGCTAAGACAGCCACCTTCTTGCGCAGCCAAACTGCGTACTGATTTGGACAAGAGAGGTTGACAAAAGAAACGGGCACAAAGAGTGGACAAGAGGTGTTGTAGAGCATGATGTGCAACAACACGCACAACGTCACGCGCAGCATGATTGGCAACATCGTGCGCAGCATCACGCACGGCACCACGCACAGCTTTGCGCGCAGCACCAACTCACAACATTGCTCGCAACAGAAACTGACGCGAGAAATTGCGAAGCATAATGCTAAGCTTGCTCATCAGAACTTGCGGAGGCTAGGCTTGAGCAGGGACATTGACGTGTTTACGCTTTGTTTCTTATGAGGCGGGGGAGGCGTCAGAGTTGATTTAACGTGTTAAACTTTTAGCAGAGCAGAAAGCAGCCGAGGTGGAGCAGGGGCCATGGAGCCTGGCCAGCGGCTGCGTGAGCTCGCTGCTGGTCTTGTTGTTGCTCCGCTCAGGCCGCTCCGTTTTCTTAGACCGGATTTGCATTCACCAATCGGACGAGCACTTAAAGGGCTTGGCCATCATGAACATGGGCGGCCTTCTCAAGAACTCGGAATCTCTCCTCGTGATGTGGGATTCGACGTACGCCGAGAGGCTTTGGTGCGTGTTTGAGCTCGCGGCATATTTGAAGAGCCATGAAGACTCGAGCTGCAAGTTGATGGTGCGGCCCGTCTTGCTGGGGCCGCTCACGCTCATTACGTTCTTTGTAGTGACGTTGCGAAGTTGCATACTGGTGGCGGGCTTTCCTGTTGTTTCCAAGGACGTTCTTGCAGGCCTTTCAGCTGTTGCAGCACTCCTAGCTGTTTGCGCTTTGCAGGTTCAGAAACTTCGTGGCTACAATCGTTCCATGGAGGCCTTGCAGCATCAGCTCAGCAGCTTTAGTTTCGCTCAAACGAAGTCATATTGCTGCAGCGCGAATCACAAGGATGACAACGGCGCACCTTTTCGTTGTGATCGAGAGATTCTCCTGGAATGCATCACTCTGTGGTTTGGCTCCGTAGAGAGCTTTGAGCAATGTGTGCAGTCCAAAGTTTCCGCATCCTTGCTTTCGGGTCTAGGAAGCCATGCTCTCCCCTATTCCTGGATTTTAGCTGCGTCTTCCCCGTTTTTGTGGGCAGCAGCCGATTCAGCGGCATCCCTTTTCCGATGCGGGGAGTGGAGAATTGGCCTGCCGTACCTTCTGAATGGTCTTGCTTGGTGGCTTGCAGCGACCCCAGCGCTCTTCGTGGTCTGTGGGCTGGTGTCGCACAGGCTGCGGGCAAGAGCTGACAGGCAGTGCGTAGACCTTTTAAAGTCGATCGTGGGAGCAGTTTTTATAATAATTCTCGCACTTTTGGCGGCTGCCGCGCAGCAGGCCTGCTTCACACTCGTCGATGACGAATTGCATGCAGCGCTGGCGTTTTCCGGTGGCATGACGCTGCTTGCTGGTATCACTTGGAGGAAGTGTAAGCCTAGCTGAGCTGGGCTGCCACGACCCCGACTTTCGGCTTTGGCGCCCTTTTACAGGGTCGGCGGCGCATCCCCCTGTAAAGGAGGAGATGACTCTTCTCAGCCCTTCCGCGCGGACTTTCAGCTGGGGTGCCGGTCCCGGTGATGCCCAGAAAACTCTCAGGTTTTGCCGGTTTTTAACCTCGCCTTTTTGCCGCTGAAGGCTCCCTGCTCCGGAAAAAGCTTGAACTCCCCCTGGCAGGTGGGAACGACTGAAGCAGATGATCAGCAAGCCCCAGTTCTTCGAGAAGTTGCAGCGGCTGGGCCCTGAGAGCCAAGTGAGCTATTGAGGGCACTCTTTTGGGTGGTCAAGCAAAAAGCAAAACGTCCCCCATTGTGACACACACACCCCCATATAAAACAAAATGCCACTGCCACTTGAGCAGCGTTTTTTTTCTCAGATGATGGGTTTTAGCTTCGTGGGGAACTCTCAAAAGGTTCGCGAAGGCAGTTGTGTGACACATTGTGTGCCGCGAAGCCCCGCGAAGCCAATTCGCGCAGCCTTTAATGAAGCCCTAAACTTTGGCTTCTCCCGACATGTTCTCATATGTGTTCTTGCCACACAAAACCCAAAAGTGGTCCATCCGACCGCTGCTGCTTTGATGGCAGTTGGGGTTGGGACCCCGGGTGCTGGGACCCGCGGGTCCCGGGGGGAGGGGGAAGTCCGGGCGGCAGGTTGGACTTGCGGAACGTGTCCAAGGAGCAGTTCAAAAAGCTGGCGGGAACCCGGCGGTTCAACGAAAATTCGGCCTGGTCCCTTGCTTCCATTTGCTCAAGAATGTTGTTTTTCCCTGATGGTTTTAAAGGGAACCTATGACTACTGAAAATATGTTTATTTACATGGAAGCTTGAAAACATAGGTGTTGTTTTGGTGGAAATTAGATGGGTTTCGCTGGTTTACCTCGTGGTTTAACCATCTACCAGGGCCATCTATTTGCCCCAAAAGGGCACCTATGCTTAAAAATTGCATTTCTGTGTCCATAGGGTTCTCAAAGGTCCCATGTAAAGCATGGTTGACCCGAGGGGGCCCAATTTAGATGACAATCCTGAAAGGTAAAGGGTAAGCAATGATGGTTATAATTAACCCAACCATTGCTTTAATGGTGGCCTGCCTGAATCCCAGAGGACCCGCACCAGTTGTTTCTTAATCCCGAGAAAAGGATGCCTGGCGAATTGGCCAGGCAGCTTCAGACGTCTCTCCAGACAAATATGTCTCATTGGGATTTAGTTGCAGGCCACCATGAAAAAACAATGGTGGGCATAGGTGTCCTTTTTAGGTTACCTTGTTGGCGTTTAGGATGGGGAAGGTTCTAGGTTTGTAGAATGGAGGACGCTTGGGGTCGTAAGTGTCCTTTTGATGGGTTACTTTGGTCCAAAAACATGACACTGGTTTAGATTGATCTTATGCCATGTACCAGGGCCATCTATGTCTATCAAAAGGCCACCTATGATGGCGGGGTGAATGTTTCACCGTTGTTTTCCGTGGATGATCTATCTTCGGTCCCCCTGCCATTCCTTTTTCTTTAACGGGGGCTCACATGGAGTGTCATGGAAGCCTCAGCCTCATGGGATCACTCGTGCCTCAGAGGCCCGGCGATAAGTCCACAGAGGAGATGCCACAGAAATGCCCATCTTTGGATCGGGTTTGGGCCGTGAAATAGATGTGTTCCACGGGTGTTCAGGGAGTTTTATGGCACAAACTTGACAAACCAAGCTTGTTTCATCTTTCTCCAAAGGGACAACTGTGGTCCAAGCACCGCAAAGGTGGAGGACGGACATTTAGATCCGCATTGCAGTGATCTTCGTAATTGTTCTGATTATTGTTGGATTGGGGAGTCGATTCTTTGTACTTGGATGACACTGCGGGTATTATGTTCAGCAAAAGGCATGCTGCAGCCGATTTGAGCTTTATCCAGGCTAGGGTGTAAGAGGGGTGTCATTAAGCCCAGATCGTTCTGATTCTGGCGTGTGAGTGAAAGAGTGCGACCATTGCCAGCGCGACAAGCTGTCCCACCCCCACTTTGACGAAGAGCTGATCAAAACTGCCCGGACTCCTATGATTGCCGACAGTTGAGATGTTTTGATCTCCGATTGCCATGGCGCTCGGATATATGTTATCTTGGCTTTGTTTGTGGCATTGTTGCTTTGCCACACGCTGTTCCCGCTTTCTTCCTTTCTCTCCGTGCTTCCGGCACCTGATGTGTATCGAGCAGCGTTTCCTTTCTCATGCGCTTGCGGAAAAAATAAGAAGAACAAACACGAAGCGCGCAATTTCCGGCTTTGAGGTCAGCGTGCCGATGGTGCCTTTGGCCATGTGGACCCCACCTCAGTGTGCGCTGCACGGCCCTTTCCGACTTCGCAGGGTGGTCGCCGCGCCAAAGCGAAAAGCGAAAAAGCGAAAAGCGAAAGCTTGGCGCTAGCGGGCCCAGGTGCCGAGCCATTGGAGTCTATTTGTCCAAGACCAAGTGCCCTGTCCAGTGAGACAAAGCATGCCTCCAGGAAGTATGTCTTTGTTTTGCCCCTACGGGTTTTATTGCGGGAATCAATCACTGCTGGACATATGGGAAATATGGGACATGTGTGTGTGTGTGTGTGTGTGCTTTTTCATCTGGGAAGCCCCTTCAACCGCAGGTATCGGGGTGGTCCGGACATTCGCCCCGTGGCCGGCTCCGGCGCTACACCGCAGCCGCGGTATCAAGGCGGATCGCGGGAAATCAGCGGAGCTTTGGCGGAACGAGGTTCATAATAGCTTCCCCTAATATTTCGGTTCGTTCGCTTCTTTCGGGTCGGTTCGGTGCGAAGGCCATCATGTAGTACAAGGCTGTGTCTTGTTTTGAGGGACCCAAATTTGGGCTGGTGTCAGGGAAACCAGGGTAAAACCACCGTTTTGTTCCCCGTGCATCAAGGTGACGACGCACAAGCACGTGGTTGGCGGTTGGCATTTGTGTGCAGTGAAAAGGGATCCTGAGCAGAAAAGGGCCAGATTTAGAAAGTCTGGCGCAGGTTTTGCTGGCGGTATCTCAGATTCTGACCTTGAGCTTGACCGCTGCATCCAGCACTCCAGTTTGGGGGATGCGTTGGTGTCTGTGCGGGAGCAAAGGCAACTTGCGGAAGTTCCAATTGTACAAACACTGAGCCACTCAATGTGCGTTTTTTGTGTGTTTGTTTTTTCCCCCGTGCCAGAGCGAAGATCCAGCGCAGCGATCCTTGGCAAGCAGATATATAGTGCGTGCAAAGAGTGTGCCCTCAAAGCAAGGAGCCACCGCCAGTCAGAATCCATTTGTTTGACGGTACCCTTTTTGGTGGTTCAACCAACAGAAAAACCGCGTGAAACAACACACTTTCTTGGGGCCTCCTAAAAAGAAGACAGAGCCAAAAACGGGTTCAGCGGGCAAAGGCTCTTGGCGTTTTCGAGCGAGGATGGACATCTCCCCTGACTTGAGCCGTTTGAGCCCAGAGGAGTTGAGGCGGGTCGATTCGTTGCCACGAAGCTCAACACGTCAAAGAATGGCAAGGGCCCAATTTGGATGGCAGTTCTGAGGAAAACCATATGGCTGTTGTCCAAAATGGGGTAACCCCCAAATTTGGCTTGCAGTTTGTAAATGGAAACATGGACTTAAACCTGTGCCCTGGTGGTTGAATTTTGACCCATACCCACATGGTGCTGTGAATCCCGGGGAAGGCATTGTCTTGTAATTCCGTGATTGCCTTTTGCTTTGGGAACTTGTTGAAGCGCCAGCAGTACATGTTCAGAGTTCAGTGAGGGCTGGGAGGCGATTCTGAAATTCGCCCGCGCAGCTCATTTCGCAGGCGAAGCAACAGGAGCATGGATGCTGGCTTGCCCTCATGTTTTTTTTGGTTTTTGTTTTAAGTTTTCCCGGATTGGACTCAGCAGCCGGAAGGTGAAACACGACCTGCCGCCAACTCATTTCACCGCGGTTCACCTCATTCCATCGATCGAAATCGGATCGATTTCGAGCGCGATTTCGAGCGCGAAGCTGGTGAAAGCATCATGGGCAATGTGGTGCGGAGCATGCGGCCCTGCTGCTTCAGCTGCGGCCTCAAACCGGGAGGCCGAGGTGTTCAATTCGAGTCGACCTGAAATGACCCAAGGTGGTTTCATTTACTTGGTGGCTCCCAGCCATCCGATTCCTTAGCTGTTTAGCTGTTTAGTCGGTTTAGTGGGGGTGTCCGTTTGACCCACGAAAAGTTGAAATTTTAGTAGGGGATCTGCGGGCAGCCCAGTTTAGTCATGGCCGCCAAAGGTGATCATCTTTGGCGTACAGGTCCCCAGGGCAACTGCGACACTTGGGACTGAAACAACTGACCCCAAAATCCCAAGGGACACAGCTGTCGAGAATCAAAAATACGATCGGCTGAGGTCGAGACAACAGTGAGGCTGGACCCGGGGAGGTAGAGAAAGAAAGGAGAGTGCGAATGGACTCCAAACCTGCGTCTGGCTGAGGCATCGCCTTGGATTTTGCTTTTCTGACGGATTGTTTTTTTGTTTATGGTGTTTCAAGGCACACACACACAGATTGCCATGAGTAGGAAGCCCCGGATGTCCTAAAACATCGGCCCGCACGGGTGCCAATGGATCGCCAGGAGGGCAAGCGGCGACTGGATGTCCCCGGGTCCAGCTCCCCGATTTCCCCGAAGAGCGCCTTGGCCAAGTCGCTCTTGGTGAATCCCAACTTGCTGGCGCAGGCGCCGGGCGAGTTCCGAGCGAGTGTCGAGCGAGTGTCCAGCGGGGTTTCCCCCAGCTAGGTGCCCTTTCACCGAGTTGTTTTTTGGGGGGAGGGGTCCAAAAACGAAAATAGACTACGGCAAAAGCTGGTACCCTTATTCTAACCTCTCTCGCCGATTTGAAGCCGTGTTGGATCTTGTTGGCTTATGACCTGATGCCGTGAATTGCAGTTCGAGTTCGAGAGCTTGTTGGCTTGGCTTGTTTTCTCGTCTATGAAAGCTTGATTGCTTGGCAAATTGAACCAGAGGTCGAAGGCATTTAAGATAGGGAGTGGCTCTTTTCAGGAGAACCCCCAAAAGGGTGTTTTTCTTTCGGTTTCCCTTTAAAAACACAAACAAAAACACGGGGTACGGTTGAAGCAAGACATACCCATATTTGAGTGGTATGGTTGCAATGGTAGGGAACTGTTCATGCATTGAAGCACAGATCTGCCCAATTTAGCTCATCGAGGCTTGGACACTAGGCAACGAGGACATAATTTACAACGTGGTTCTTACATGGTAAAGCATTGGATTTCTTGCAGCCGATTTCGATGTTCCGCTTCGGGATGGGTTTGCCAGATTGCCAGGTCTGCTGGCAGGCTTTTCGCCGCTCCGAGAAGCAGGGGCAAATTATGGGGTCGGCGCCTCTAAGAGGCCGCGGTTTGGGTGTGCGATTCGTTGGGGGGGGTACTTGGATTCGTTGGATAGATGGATGGTTTAGATCTCGGACATTCTGCAGGTGCCGGGTTGGTTCAGAGACATGTTTGTTGCCTTCGGGCCAGATTTGGACGCCAAATTTGGGCGCCTTCAGCGGTCGGCACGCCTTTGGTCTTCAGACTGCGGATCTTCTACTTGGTGGTTTGGAGCCGAATCGGTGGTTTCGTTGCAAGTGGGGTCTCCCATTTGCCTACAAGAATCGCTTCAAATCCAAGCCCAGTTCGAATCAAAAGCACGAAGTGGTCACTTGAATGGGGCCGCTGACGTGGCCTAGGCAGGACCTCCAGCATGTCAGCTGCGATCTTTGCGAGCAGACAGGGATGGGGCAGCCCTGGCGAGTGCTTTTGGTCCGCATGGCTGGCCTTTGTCGTTTTCTGCCTTGGTACCCCTTTGTTGGCCGATGTCAAAGGGAAACCAAAAGGAACCAGCTCCACAAAAATTGGGTCGCCCAAAAAAGAGAGACCCGTGTATCGACTCAGCTTTCCAATTTTTGGACAAGCTCACGTGGGGGGGGAAACAAAACAGATCTCAAGGATCCTGGTGTATCTCCTTTCTTCCGATCGGTGTTTTCCCTTGGCGGAGGCTTGCTCCGCTTTGTTGTCCGCCAGGCCTTACTCGACAAAGCTGGAGCAGTTGGCACTGCTGGAGATGGGCAAGGCTTGGCTGAAGCCAGACAAATTGGGGGAAAGCCATCATTTTAAGGGGGCCGATTCTTAAGAAGAGACACCCAATCTGAAAGGGTTCACCTAATTCCTCCATGCCTGCGTGGGCTTGTTTTGGTTGAGGGCATTTCTTGTGGCTGCTTAAAGAGCAACCAAAAGGAAACCCGAAATTCATTTGCGGGGGTCTTTTTGCAATTTTCTCACAAAAGGTGGCAAAACGACCCCCCGGAATTCATGTGGGGGGGTGGGGGGGGGGCAAAAAGACATCTTCACAGGCTCGGTCCTTGGGGGCCTCGCCTCAGGCTAGCGACTCCACCTTCGCGCGAGAGGAATTCCAGAGGTGAGCTTCAAATGTCAAGCTATTGAGCCTTTGACTTCGTCAAAATTTTACGTTTGGGCGGCTTGTATTTTGAACACCTGGTCGCCGAGTTCTGAGTTGTTTTCTTGGCTGATATTTTGAAGGCACATGTCGGGTACACTGCTTTGAGCTTTGAGGAGGAGCTTTTGTAAGCGTGTTGGTGTGTGTGTGTGTGTGTGTTGTTTGTTTGGTGTGTGTTGTTGTGTCCTTGTGTTGTTATGCTATTGTGTTGGCTGGGGTGTTGGTCTGTGGTTGTGTTGGTGTGTTGGTGTGATGGTGTTTGTTTGCGTGGATTGGTGGATTGGTGTCTGCGTGTGTGGGTTGGTGCGTTGGTGTTTTAGCGTGTGTGTCGGTGTGTTTGTGTGTGATATAGATATTGTGCTGGTGAGTGTTATTGTGTTGGTGTGTTGGTGTGTTGGTGTGTTGGTGTGTTGGTGTGTTGGTGTGTTGGTGTGTTGGTGTGTTGGTGTCTCTGTCTCTGTCTCTGTCTGTGTCTGTGTCTGTGTCTGTGTCTGTGTCTGTGTCTGTGTCTGTGTCTGTGTCTGTGTGTGTGTCTGTGTGTCTGTGTGTGTGTGTGTGTGTCTGAGTGCTATTCTGTAGGTGTGTGGGTGTGCTTTGTTACTCAGTGCATATGCATGTATGTTTGCGTGTCTGTATGTATGCACATCCGCGAATCTGTGTGTGTTTGTGTTTGTGTTTGTGTGTGGGTGTGTCTGTGTTTGTGTTCCTGTGTGTGTGTGTGTTGTGTGTCTGGCTGTTCTGTGTTCTCTCTCTAACTCTCTCTCTCTCTCTCTCTCTTTCCCTGTGCCTGTCTCTGTGTGTCTCTGCGTGACTTTGTGTGACTTTGTGTGTGTGTGTGTGTTTGCGTGTGCGCGTGCATGAGTGAGTGTGTGTGTGTGTGTACGCGTGCGTGTGCGTGTGTTGGTGTGTGTGTGTGTGTGCGTTCTGTTTGTATGAGTGGCTGTGTTTGTGCATTTAATTGTGCTTTTGAGTGTGTGTGTGTGTGTGCGCCTGTGTTTGTGTCTTTGGTACGAGTGTGTGTCTGTGAGTCTGTGTGTCCGTGTCTGTGTGTTTGCGAGTCTGCGTGACTGTGTGTGTGTGTGAGTCTGTGGGTTTGTATGTTGGTTTGCTTGCATGTTTGTGTATGTGTGTGTGTGTGTGCGTTACTATGCGTTTGTCTCAGTACGTTTCCGTGTTTCTGCGTTTGTTTGTCTTTGTGTGTGTGTGTGTTTGTGGATCTGTGTGTTTGTGCGTCTCTGTGTGTGTATTTGTGTGTGTGTGTCTGTGTGTCTTTGCTTGTTTGCTGGTTTGTTTGTCTGTTTGTTTGCTTGTGGGTTGATTGGTTGGTTGGTTGGTTGGTTGGTTGGTTGGTTGGTTGGTTGGTTGGTTTGCTTGCTTGCTTGTTTGTTTGTTTGTTTGTTGGAACTTGCGCCTTCGATGTTGCTGCTTCTGTACTTGCAGCATTGCTTGCGTATGTGCAAGCATGTGCAACCATGTGAATTAGCACAAACCATTATGTAGCAGGTGCTAAGCAAGGTTGGATCCTGTTTTGTGTGCCGGATTTGCCTAACATGGTGTCAACGTCCTCAACTTCTTGCTTGCTGGTGCCCACGCGTCGACTTCATGCGAGCGTTGACTTAGCCCCAGCAAGTAGCTCTGCATCCCTCCCCATTTTCTCGGCCTCCGAGACCAAGACGACAAGTCGACCGACAGGTTCTTCGAGATTTACCTGCGGCTCTACGCTGAGGCTGCAGCTGCGATGGATTCAGGCGAGACGCGAATGCGTTGCCTCAGAAGGCACGTGGGTGAATTGACTTAGCGCCAGGCGAGAAGGCCAACGGCAACGCTGGCATCCTAGTCTTTGAGCAGAGCTAA